GAATTCATTTTTATAGACAAATTCAACTTCTCACTAGTCATGGATCCCCAAACTATCCATATAAGGACCTTCTTTCCTCTCTTAATAAAACAACCCATATTTAGTTATTTGATCCTATTTCAGCTGGGAGCATGAGTGTAACTTTGCTTTTTAGTAATTATTCACTCTGTGTCATCAAAATTTATCTTAGCATTATAGGGTCGTGGAATTAGGGAGGGACCGTGCAGAACCATTAATTACCAGAAGGCATTCTTAACAACTCTGCTCCTTCACATCTTGTTCTTCTGGTGGAATGTCTGTGTTGATGCTGTGGTGTGTTGACCAAGTACGGTAGGTCCCAACAGCCAAAGGTGAGGAATGGCAGCTTGACCCACACTGGCCCAACCAAGCTGTGACACTGTATTGGTTCCTATAACCCACTAAGGGAATTAACTGCCCACTTGCAGTTGTCTGAAATTGCCACTAGACAGCACTGTCCATCTTTTTGGCTTTTACTCAGAGGTGCCTGGCTCCTTTGGAGGGACTCGTGGGAGACATTCCAAAGACATGCAATCATGTACTCAACCAAATCAAGCTCTTTATAGCTTAGTTTTAAAATAAATTTTAAGTGTCAGAGGCTTTTATGCAAAATAAACTCTCAAGTTCTACATCTGATTGTCATAGCCTATAAACAGCAGGGACTAGATTATGATTTTTCAAAGTTTTCAGTGTTTTTCTGGTCAGGCTCAGTTTGTGTAGTGTCCTGGATGTATCCTTGCTGCCCGGTCTCTGAGCTCTTCAGGTTATAGAGAAAAAATTATTGCTGAGCCGCTTGGGTTTTAGATCTGGCCGGCTTCACCTCCGGAGAGAGGAATGAGTATTCTCCTCTTTGGCTGAAACCTTTGGGACTCCTCCCTCCCATCCTCTACTGGCCAGGGTTCTTGGTATGCAAATAACCAGAAAGCACCTCTGGTGAGTTCAAACCAAAAAGGGATTTACTGGCAAGATCTTGGGTAGTTCATGGAGTTTATGGAAGACTGGAGAACTATACTCAGAACTGGGGCAGGAATTCCAGGAGGCTGAGTTGGCTGGAATCAGAGCCAGAATCAGGCCCTGGAATAGTCTGGATACGATGTTGCTGCTGTTGCCATCACTGATGAGGACTGGACACTGCTGTCCTTGCTGAAGTTTTAATTTTATTTTCAACTGCCCCCTGCTTCTTTGCATCACCTGCTACAGATTCAAACAATCACTAAGTGAGAGCACATACTAGAACCTACTATCCAAAAAGTCCTGTATGCAGAGCTGGTACTCACCTATACATTGTCATCATCACCTGCTGTTGTCAGACTAGTTCTTAAAATATTGAAATAGTTTCTCACCACCCTGGATCCATTCTCTTTCCACTTTCTCTCTGTCTGGCCACTAAATGGTTAATACCAGGTACAGGGAGGGGCCTCCCAGAGTGTGCCACAACTGGCATCCACTCTGGTTAGTGGTCATTTGTGGCAAAATGATGATTAAATATTTTAAGCATTATCCCTAACCATGTCTACTTAGGTTAGTTTGTAAGTAAGAGTGCGGCTGGCACTGCAAATTAGTAGCTTCTATATTAAAAAATATAAAATGTGCAAAGGGCTACCTACATATGAGAGTGATTACTCATCATGTGTGAATTGAATTGATCATCCTTTGTTTAGTTCATAAGACATCTCCATTCATTTTTTCTCCCCAGCCTAAGAATGCTATGTGCTATGTGCTTATTTTAACATTAAGATGAATTAAACTAACCTATATAGGGGGAATTAGTAAATGGATTATGGAATGTTATTATAATGAAACATTATACACTTGTTAAAATGATGGATATGCTAACTGTGTAGAAACACAGAAGAATATTCATGAAATACTTAAAAATTAGAACATAGAGCTACCCAGATATATTTGCAACTGTGTGCATGCTGTTTATGCATTTAGTTTAGAAAGGATTGTAAAGGAATAAAAATAGTTTCTGTTAAGATAACTTCACAGTTAAATTTAGACGCTTTCTTTAATCATGCTTTAAAAATTGCATAAATAAAGCCTCAACATAATAAAATTGATTGTAAAAATTATTTATAAAATGAAAACATTTGGATGATATCACAACAGTGCTTTTGGTCCTGGGAGGCAAACTGAGGTATCAAAAAACTAGGATTGGAAAAACACAAGGGCATATATTAATAGATAACAGCAGGTTGCATGTTCCGTGACTAAAAGAACAAATGTCTCAACAGCTTAGAGAACAATCTGGGGGGGGCTATTGAAGGTCATGGGTAGTCTCAGGTGTACATGACAGTGACGAAGTCAAAGTTACTGCTGATTTGGGCTGCAGAGGAGGACTTAGAATGATTTTCTTTTTGCCTCTAGCATTCTACTCTGTCAGTTCCAAGGACAGTAAGCAAAACAACCATTCAGAAAGGAAACCAGCATCCAACTTAAGCTTCTTAAAAAAGGAAACTAAAGCATGTCTCCTTATGCAGACCCTTGTACTGTATCTTGACATCCCTATACAGAGTTCGTGAACCAGGAATTTTCATTTCATTGCTCCTCATGTTTTAACGTGCAAATGAAGTATCTGGGATCTTGTTAAAATGCGGATTCTGATTCAGTAGATGTAGGGTGGAGTCTGAGTTTCTGCATTTTTAATAAGCAGCCAGCTAATGCCAGTGCTTCTGGTCTGTGGACCATACTTTAAATATCAAGGTTCTACATATCCTGAGGACTTGTTTTTTGGATTGTGTGATTTTCAGATGTATTCAGTAAGACCTTGCTATTCAAAGTATATGCTTTGTTCCTCATGTCATTAGAAGGAAAAAAGAAAAAAAAAAAAGTATATGCTTTGAAAACTATGAAACATTGCCGAGAGAAATTAAAGAAGGCCCAGATAAAGGGAGAGATAGGCCATATTCGTGAATTGGAAGACTCAGTATTATTAAACTGTTTTCCCCAGATCTATAAATTCAATAGCATGATCCTAATCAGAATTCCAGCACACTTTTTTTTTTTTTGGTAGAAATTGATAAGATGATCTTAAACTTTACATGAAAATGCAGAGGACCTAAAATAGCAAAAACAATTTTGAAAAAGAATCAAATTAGAAGACACACCACCTAATTTCAAGACTATATAAAGCTATAGTAATCAAGACAGTTATTAGGTAAAGACAGCTCAACAGAACAGAGTCCAGAAATTTATTATCTTTTTTTTTTTTGAGACAGAATCTCACTCTGTTGCCCCAGCTAGAGTGCCATGGTGCCAGCCTAGCTAACAGCAACCTCAAACTCCTGGGCTCAAGCGATCCTTCTGCCTCAACCTCCCAAGTAGCTGGGACTACAGGCATGCACCACCATGCCCGCTTAATTTTTTCTATATATTTTTATTTGGCCAATTAATTTCTTTCTGTTTATTTTTTTTAGTAGAGACCGGGTCTCGCTCTTGCTCAGGCTGGCCTCAAACTCCTGACCTTGAGCAATCCGCCCACCTCAGCCTTCCAGAGTGTTAGGATTACAGGCGTGAGCCACCACGCCCGCCCTTAGTCTAGAAATTGACCACACATACATAGCCAGTTATTTTTCAAAAGTGTTATTCTGAATGAGAGAAGCCCAGCACAAAGATTACATATACTATGATACCAGTTATACAAAATACAAGAAAAGGTAAAACTATAGTGACAGAAAGCAGATCAGTGGTTAACAGGATCTTGGAATTGTACATGAATATAGAGAGGTACAAGAGAACTTTTTTTGCGAGCATGAGGGAACTTTTTGGGGTGATGGAAATGCTGTATATTGTAATTGTGTTATAGGACATATATATTTGTCAAAAATCATCAAATTGTACAGTTAAAGTGGATACATTTGGTTGTGCAAATTATAACTCAAAAAAGATTATCTGGCTATATATTAGGGCATTGCCAGTATAATTTAAGCTTTCTTTGATTTGAGATGCTTACTAAATCAAGGGGTTATCCATTTGAACACCAGTGATTGGTTCTCACTGCAGGGAAGAGAGTGGGGTGCTTGGAGCTTGGGCCTGGGAGTCAGGTAGCTGTCTGGGTTCCAGTATCAACTCCTCCACCAAGGCAGCCAAGCTGCTTCACCTCTCTGTGCCTCGGTTTCCTCATGTGTGCAAACTAACATGATGTTAGTGCTTACCTCAGGGTTGTTGAGAGGATCAAATGCACTAATATCAACATATTTAAAGCACTTAGAACATTGCCTTGTGCATAGTAAGCTATTACATATGTAAGCATTCCCTATTATTATTGACTTTTGATAATCTGGTTTATGTTATAATTTTATTTTATCTTTTTCCTAAAATGTGTGTTTTTTTTTTTTTTTGAGACATAGTCTCGCTTTGTTGCCCAAGCTAGAGTGAGTGCCGTGGCATCAGCCTAGCTCACAGCAACCTCAATCTCCTGGGCTCAAGCAATCCTCCTGCCTCAGCCTCCCGAGTAGCTGGGATTACAGGCATGTGCCACCATGCCCAGCTAATTTTTTGTATATATATTAGTTGGCCAATTAATTTCTTTCTATTTATAGTAGAGACTGTGTCTCGCTCTTGCTCAGGCTGGTTTCGAACTCCTGACCTCGAGCAATCCGCCCGCCTCGGCCTCCCAGAGTGCTAGGATTACAGGCGTGAGCCACCGCACCCAGCCCCCCTAAAATGTGTTTTTTCCCTTTCCTTTGCCGCTTCTTTGAACCATGGGCACTCTTGTAACTTGAAGTTTTTAATGTTAAATAGAATGTTAGAGCTGGAAGAGATACTGGATAACATCTAAACCAAGTATGGGTGACAAAACTGAGACCAAGGAGGTTGAGTGATGTGCCCAAGGTCATGATAGTACATGGCCAAGCAACTACTGGTTCAGCTCTGTTTCATCAAGGGTTATGGTGTTTGCATTTTTAATACTAAGCATACGGATTTATCTTAGACCTGCCATTCATTGATTCCATTGTGTGGTCTTTGTTTTTCTGCAGAGCAGTTCAGAGCCCCAGTTTCAGAAGACTTGTCCTGCTGCCACCATGAGCTCTGGTAAGTGATTTCAAACCCTGCCCTTCTCTTGTCAAATCTACAGAATTGGGCAGTTTACCCAGATTTTCTATGTATGCTGAAGGCCCCAGAGGTATTTTATTTTTTATTTTTTGAAACCTGGGTGGGGGCCATATCTTTGTCATAAATCATCTTCATCACCATCGTCACCTTCATTGTTAATGATTTTTTGAGTGCCTACTATTTGTGCTATACACTTTACATGCACCACGTCCTAATCTTTTTAATAGCCCCTTTTCCCTTTGTTGAGATATATACAATACACTGCAGATATGTTAAGTATACAATTTGATAAATTTTGACACATGTGTATACCTTAGTGGCATTTCTTAATCCAAGTGACTGCAGCAGAAGTAAATAGATTGACTATAATTGCCCCAGGGAGTGAGCTCGTTCAATCTTCCCTCATCTGGGCTGGTAGAGCAGTTTGCTCACTCTTTTGCTTTGCATTTGGTAGTAAAAAGCAAACCCTAAACAAATACCTAGTTTTGAGTCTTTTTAGGTTTGAACTGGGATAGAAAACACAGGCTAGGGAAAGACAGAGATGGGAACAGATCCTGCTCATGTGCAGCCCAGAGAGCTGTCAGCTGTCCAGCCCAGAACTGGAGACAGAGAAGTTTCCATCTGGAGATTAAGGCCCGCCTTGGCTACTGAGCATGCCCTGGAGCCTCCCAGATCCCTGCAGGTGGGGCAGGCTGGGGTGGGGATCACCATTTGGATATCTCATTTAGGAGTCTCCTAATCCTGCACTATCTCATGACCTCTGTGGATTGAAAACAAGCCTTTTCCATTTATTTGCATATAGTGCCCTTTTAGTCAAGTCCTAGGAAGGACAGTTTGTGATTAGGACCTAGAAGGATTCCAAGGTGGAACAGCTTAGGGCCGCAACCTGGCCTCATCATGTATTGACTGTGGCCTTGAACCTGTGATAGATCCTTCTCTGCATTGTCTTCTGCAAAATGGGCATAGTAAAAGTACCAGTTCCTTGGGACATTGTGAGGATTAAGTGAGGCAGTGCTTGTATAGTGCTGAGCACTGTGTCTAAGGCATGGACACAGTGGAGCAAGGGCTCCATCGTGGGTTCTTACTGGTATCAGCCCAGATTTCTCCTTACAAGGAGAGGGGCTTGGCCTGTTCCTGATTCCATGAGCACTTTTGCTATATGTGAAGAGGCTTCTTCGCATACATCTTCTTTCCCCCTCCAAGTGGACCTGAGTGCTGCCAGTAGCTCCCACTTTGTAATCATGTTTTGTTGTCTGTTTGGATTTTTACTTTCCTTGTCCTTTAAAACAGTCCATGGCTTTTTAAAATAACTTTTGCTCTGCAGCTTGAAGTTTTCTGTTCTTCCAGTGTTGGAATTAGTCTAAACTGGCGTTGCTACTCTTGGCATTAATAAAGGCCAGAGAGGGAGGAAAGGAAGGGCCAAGAAGGAGGGTGAGGGAGTGGAAATGCCCTGGGGACTTCTCCCCGGGATCTCTCCTGCAGGTGGGGTGCTGGGAGGAGGCATCGTCTAGGAATAATCCAAAAACTCTTTGACCTGATAATCCCACTCTTAGGAATTTCTATCTTAATTTGAAAGAAGGAAATAAAAAACATCACCAACATGAAGGTGGGGAATAAGTAAGTACATCATGTGTATTTACTTGATGGAATATTATGCCACTATTAAAAATGATCATTAGGGAGAAAGTAGCTACATGGAAAATATTTGTTTTAACCTTTAGTGGAAAGAGCAGTGTGAAAACAATGTGTTCTTTTTATTCCAAATTTGGGCTGGGCTCCCAGTCACCAATGCAAGTGATTTACCTACATGATCTTGTTTCATTCTCCTGGCAAACCCCCAGTGGTGGGCATGGTTTAACCCCCTCCCATTATATAGAAGGGGAAACCGAGGTGCTGAGGGGTTAGTAATTTGGGATCACCCAGCTAGTGTACAGTGTTGCTGAGTCAAATTTGGCTATTGGACACCAATACATTGTGCTGCAGAGGTTTGAATTTGAGGTGATAGAGTTATTGATTTTTAAACACTTAAAAAATTTCTTCAAGTTTGGTTAATATTTAATTAAAAGAAAAATAGAAAAGCAAGGGAAGAACATGGGGCTGGGCTGAGGGTAGCTCCCAGGCTGCCCCAGTTCTAGCTTGGGAGTCCTGAGGCATGGCCTGCAGTCCTGGGAGGAGCTAGAGCAGGTGCACAGGGAGGGGATAGTTCAAGAAATAAAAATGAGTGGTGGAATGTGTGCTATTTCTTTAATTTAGATTTCTGGCCTTCTTGCCAACAGCCTCCTTCCACCCCTCCCAGAAATGAGAGTTTGAGGGAGACATTGACAGCTAGGAGAATTAGCCTTCATCTGTAGGTAGATGTGGGGCAGTTAGCAGGACACACAGACTATGGGGCCAGCACTGGGAAAGTTCAGGACACGCTAGGAAAGGGAGTGGCCTTGGGCAGCATCCGGGCTGGCCTGTCAGTGTAGGGGGTGACTACCTCTCTAGGAGGCTGATTGTTCAGGGCCTAGGTAGGGTGACTTCATCTCAACCTAATGAGCGACTGGGGTTTGGGACTGGGTTTTAGTGCCAGCATCTGAGGAAGCAGGGTATATATAAATCAGGAAACCAAAATGATCATCCCACTGGGGAGGAAGAAGATGAGCTGTGAGATGGCGCAGACCAGAGTTCAAATCCTAGCCAAGTGATCCTGGGTGGGTCTGGCATCCTCTCTGAGCCTCAGTTTTCTTATCTATACATTAGACAGGGGTCCTCACACTTTTTAAACAGGGGGCCAGTTCACTGTCCCTCAGACCGTTGGAGGGCCGGACTGTAGTTTAAAAAAAACTATGAACAAATTCCTATGCACACTGCACATATCTTATAAGTAAAAAAACAAATGGGCAAAAACACCCACATGTGGCCTGCAGGCCGTAGTTTGAGGACGCCTTGCGTTAGGAGTTCCTAGCTCCTAGCTTCAGGGGTCTGGGTCTTCAGGATAAAATGAGAGGCCAGTTACAGAATGCTATACATGGATCCTGAGATCCAGGCAATTCAGTGTTTAAAAAATCACAGCTAGGCTGGTCCGAAGGTAGTGAGTTATCTCAATCAATGTTCATATTCAGTTACAGACAGAACTCCTTGTTCTGTTCTTTTCCCCTTTCTCACTCCTGCACTTCACTCAAAACAATAAACAAATAAAACTCGTAGCTAGTTATGACTATGTTTGTAGTTTGGCCTGTGCTTGGCTATTGGGGATCCCTCTAAGCACGCTGGCCACCTGTCCTGGGTGACTGGGCCTGCCCGCCTGTCTTCCCTGGCCTGCCTCCTGCTATTTGGGGATGGGGAACTGGGTAGGGATTAGGCTGCCTGTGGGCAGGGAGGGTCTCAGTGTCTGTGGCTGAGCTGAACTCAGGAAAGTCCCAGCTGACACAGAGAAGGGGACATCTGAGGGGAGTCTCAAGGATGCACAGCATTTCCTCAAGGTAAGAAGAGGGAGAAGGCATTCTTGGCCAAGGGCCTCGTAGGTACCAAGGCCTAGCGGTCTGAAAGTATCTGACATGCCCAAAGTGTTGAGGCCAGGAAGCGGGAAGCAGGACATGCAGCTGGAAAGGGCTGGTCCTGGCGGTGGAAGGCCTGGAATCCAGGGTGAGTTGCTCGGGCTTTGCCCTCTAGGTTGCTGGTGGCCACTAGGGCTTGTAGGTTGATTGGTTGGTTTTTAATTGTCAAGAATGTCACTTTATTCATTTAAATATAACCAGGCATGCTAAGAAAGAGATCATCCTATTTAATAAAAAATTATATTCCAAATAATTGTTTGTACACTTTTAGAAACATGGAATATGTTTTTCTCTCATGGAAATATTCTGAATGATTGAATTCCCAGACTAAGTTCTCAAATTTTTATCTTCAAAACAGAGATGAAATATAGTGTATTTAAGTTTTAGAAAATCACATTGCAGAATCCCATTTTCTTGTCCTACACTGTGGGGCTCTTTAACCCTGGGAGGGCTGTGGTGAGGTCAGGGTCTGGAAAGTGCTCTTGGGATGCAGACTGAGGCCCGGGTTGGAGGAGGGGTGGAAAGGAGGCAGAGGGAGTGGTCAGGAAGCCATGTCATCCCTGGATAGTAGCACAAGCACCTGACCCAGGCTGGGGAGGTGGGGTGTGACCAAGGACACTTCACGGGTGGGACAGCATGACTTTGACAGGTGGGGCATAGGGTGGGCTGAAGGGCAGCGTCCAGGAGCCTGAGGCTTCTGTCCTGGTTGTGTGACAGATTGCAGCTGGGGCACAGGGATGCGTCTGAGCTGACCTTGGTCAGGAGAGAGATGCCACTTTGAGGGAGTTAAGCAGACTTTGTAAACGTCAGGAAGACATTGCAAGGATGCAAGAGAATGTGTGCCACCCGCAGCACACTTCCGTCCCCATCCCCAAGCAGCTCTGTCATCCTCTCCTTGTTCAGGACACGCAGCGTTCCCAGAATTCCCCATGACGCCCTAGACAGCCCAGCCAGTGCTGTGGAAGCCCCCAGAATGTGTGGGGGCAGATGGACAGAACCCCTCCAGGGTCTGTGAGGGCAGGATCCCTCTGCCATCTCTTGACTCTATCCCCAGCACCTCGTACCACACAGAGCTCGTTAAACGCTGGGGTGGCAGAATCATAAGCCTCCTGCTCTTTTCTTTCTTTCAGAATGTGATGTCGGTGCTTCCAAAGCCGTGGTGAATGGCTTGGCCCCCGGCAGTGATGGGCAAGACAAAGGTAAGGCGCTTGGACAGAAGCCTGGCGGGGTGCTGGAAGGCGTGTCTAGAAGGTGCAGAGCATGTTGGGCCGGGGCTACCCCACCCGCCTGGTGGGAGCACCAGTGGCCTGACCAGGCTGTGAACTGGAGACTTGCTCCCCACGCTGACGTTCCGAGATCTGAGCCTGTTCTTATACCTCCTGGGTCTGAGGCTGCCGTTTTTCCACCGTGAGGTGATGCATTAAAACTGTCGCCAGCTCACAAGAATGCTGTGAAGGACAGATCAAATACACGGACCAAGGCATGTGTCATGCCTGGTACACACGGCGTTTATCAGTCTGAAACATCCCATGCCCAGCATACCTTCATCTGCAGCAAACAGTTACACATTCACAGCCCTGACCCTGAGGCAAGGGCCTAAAGCATTAAGACAAATGATCTCAGTGGCATGCACATCCTCTCACATTTTCAGTTTTTAAAGATTTTAAGATGAAAGATTTAAACGTGAAATGAACGATGGATAAGATGACCTTCGGGTCTCACTTGCCCTGGAGACTGTCATCCTGACCTCGGGGTGGCCGCCCCAGTAGCCTGGCAGCAGGCCCGGTGCCGCTTGGCAGAGTGGCGTGATGGGGCAGAGTGAGCAGGCGTGAGTTCCAGTCTTGGGAGGTCCTTCATCTTTGTGGGTGTGAGTTCCCTTATCTACAAAATGAGGAAATGTGATGATCTTCAGATCTGGAATCTGAATGCACATCTGACTGAATTTTATGATATCAGAGAGGAAGGACAAAGATCCTGGTATCAGACATTTAAGTCAAAATGTACCATTTCTCAAAGAATAATTTCACAGCCTCTGGCATTTTGGCCTTTGTAATTTCCATCTGGTTCAGCCGGTATTTCTTTTGAGACAAGGCAAAGTGTGAACTGAGAACCAGCTGGGGAGGGAAGCCCAGAGAGCGGGAGGAAGTGGGGAATTCGGGGCCCAGACTTGGGGGTGGGCTTCTCGGGGGCAGGAGGGGTCCCGCTGCCGTCCTGTTCTTGCCTCCTTGCCTGCACTCATCGTGGGCTGTCTGCTGCGTTCTTGGGGTCTTAGACAATCCAGGCTAAGTTGCACTTGGGGAACGCTGAGGAGTGGTGTCTGTGGAGCGGCCACAGGGAGTGTTTGTGGCCAGTGAGGAGCATGCGGGTGGGGGCCCTGATGCATGTAGACCTGTGGGGCCATAGACCCCGTTCCTGTGCATTCATTTATACTGGAGACTTCAGGAGTTGGTGGGAGGGCGGCGGAAGGAGATGTGTCACGCCCTGTCCTCAGTGAGACTCACCTTTGTCTGGAAACAAGGGGGCAGGTATAACCTAATGGTCATCAGAGTGGCCTGGGAGGTGCTTGAACCAGGAGCCAGGACAGCTGAGCTCCAATCTTGGCCTTGCCATGTGAGAACTGAGTGCCCTGAGTGTGGCCCTGAACCTCTCACTTCTTCCTCTGAAAACGGTACCAAAAATCTCCCACTCTGCCCATCCCCGAGCAGGCCTAAGGAGCAGTCAGTAGGATTGCCGTGAAAACACATTTGTATCTCAATACACGCAGTATTGTCATTCTCAACTTACCAATTGACGACCAGACGCCGTGCGACTGCCTCGTGCCTTGTGAAGTGGCAGCCTGATGGACTGGAAGGTGCACTGTCCACCACCAAGGTGCCTCCCGCCCTCGCTCCTGTCCCCTTGTCGGGCTGGCTAGCACGATGCTGATTCTGCAGTGTCGGTCTTCTTCCCAAACAGCCCTACCCACTCGTGATGGTGCAGATCTGGGGCCACGAGACCTCTGGATGTCGCTCACTGGAGTGACCTTGGCACCCTCCCATCTCTCTGTGTGCTGCCCTTAAGAGAGAGGGCGAGGGGGCCTCACAACAGGCTGGCTGTGACTAGCAGGGTTTGGGGATGTGGCCACTGTTGAGATTGCAGAATCTGGGCAGGTAGGGAGTCCAGGGGCCCTGCAGACAGAGAAACACGAGCACCCAGGACGTGTCCCTGCTCTGCCTTGGCTCAGCTGGGTGTCAGGATCCGGGACTGTGCACTTGGGTGCTGCCCAGAGTCTTATGCATGCACTTGGACACTTGGCACTTCTTGCCCAGGGAAGGGTGGGTTGAAGCAAGACCATCTGCTGTCTAACAGATGGGGGTTCTGATTTGCTTAGGGCAAGAGGCCCATGTTGTTAGAGTGGGCACAGGACCCCAGAAGTTATGATTTAGGGGAAGCAGCTGTGATGGCTGAAGGGACGAGGCAAGTGACGAACTTGTTCCTTTCCTTCCTGCACTCATCTGGAGCCTCCTGGCGGTAGCTTCCCTCCACGGAGGGGCCTGGACCCTGACTGCTCTCCCCTTCCTCTGTTTGCCAGGCTATCTGTGTCTCTGCAGATCTCGCTGTCCAGAGCCTTGGCAAGCTCCTGGTGTGGCAGGAGGCACCGATGAGCACTGCCCAACTGTGGGTGATGGTCGGAGGGAGGGTCTGCTGTCTTGGCCTAGACTCTAAAGAGAGAAAGCAGGTTATTTTTAATTACTGCATCTACTGTTCTTTGTATTGTTCTTTTCTGAGTGGGTGACTTCCTCCTATTGTCCCTGCCCAGTTCCTCAACTGCCTGAGTGTTTCCCAAATGTTCTTTCTGGATGCACCATTTACCCTTTTGTGTTTTCAGCAACTGCCGACCCTTTACGTGCACGCTCTATTTCTGCTGTTAAAATAATTCCTGTGAAGACAGTGAAAAACGCTTCAGGCCTAGTCCTACCTACAGGTATCTCTCCTTGGGTTGGTTTCTTCTAAAATTATTAGCTGATCACGCATGGTTTTCCTTTCTTTCCTTCTAACACACGCTTCAAGGCTTAATCCTTGCATGTTTGGAAGACGTCCCCTCTCACTTTCTCACTTGGTTTCCTTTCTTCCTGTGTGTGTGTGTGTGTGAGTGTGGGGAAGAACCGAGGACAGAGGCCTTGCTGCTCCCTTCTTTAGGAGATGCGTCAGTGCAGAGGCCAAAACTCTCACTCTGGGCTGGGTCCAAGGTGCACGGACTTCCTGGGCTCTCCCTAGAGGTTTCCAGCTCCCGTTCTTTAGTTAAAACTCCGGTTTCCCTGAGAATTAACCTGGCCTCTCAGGGCACCTCTGCGTATATTCTCCGTGAATGAGGCAGCTGCCTTAGATGCCAAACTTGGACTCTCCTCTGTGATGACTGCTGGGCCAGTTCCCAGAGCACCCCGCCCCTCCCCAACCTTCCGTGCAGCCGCTTCCTGCCTCTCTACAGTTCGGACGTCGGCTCTGGCTCACAGCGTCCTTCTGCACAAAGTGGGGCACGTGAGGCCTGGGCAGTACTTTACCCAGGGTCACCGTCAGAAGTTAGGCAAATCTGGCTGTGTGTCCAGGAACCTATGGAAGGGCTGGATCTGTCAGTTTGCCCCCTCATCCTTTTTTTTTTTTTTGAGACAGTGTCTCTCTTTGTTGCCCAGGCTAGAGTAAGTACCATGGCGTCAGCCTAGCTCACAGCAACCTCTAACTCCTGGGCTCAAGCGATCCTCCTGCCTCAGCCTCCCGAGTAGCTAGGACTACAGGCATGTGCCACCACACCCGGCTAATTTTTTCTATATATATTAGTTGGCCAATTGATTTCTTTCTGTTTATAGTAGAGGCAGGGTCTCGCTCTTGCTCAGGCTGGTTTTGAACTCCTGCCTTTGAGCAATCCGCCCGCCTCAGCCTCCCAGAGTGCTACAGGCATGAGCCACCGCACCCGGCCCCCCTCATCCTTTTGAAATGACCGTGAACCAGTTTTCCCAATCATTTTGTGACATCAGTCACTTAGCCTCTTGATAGATTTGGACAGGTCAGACACTCTCCAAGGCCTCTGCTGGCCCTGCCAGACGTTGTGGGTTTTGTGCTTCACTCTCAGTGGAGAGGTGCTGACAGGCAGCTCTGTTCTCTGACACTGGTGATACTTCTGCCTGGGTCGCTGGAAAGGGGGCTGCAGTGGGAAGCAAGGACTGAGCAGGCTCTGCCTCTCTGTGCCCTCGCACAGGGATCGGATGAGTCGGACATCTGAGCCCACATCCTGCCCAAACGCATACCCCGACTTTAGCCCGTAATCCTAACCTTGATGCTTTTAGGTCAGAGATGCAGGCTGTGAGCAATTTGACAAAAAAAAAAAAAAAAAAAAAAACCCAAAAACAAAAACCATGGAGTTCAGCTTAGCTCAGCTGTGCATAAAGAAAGCAAGCCTTGGCACGTGCACCTTGTAGAATTGTGTGGTCTGCACCAGTTTCCCGCCTCCCATTACTGACTTTCTTGGAGGATGGGCATCCAGGGAAGCATATTTTGAAATTCTTCTCGAGGGAACTCTCAGAGGTGACCTGTGTCTGTTATTGGGCCCTCGAGAAACTCTAGGGGAGGGGTTGGGACCCTGTGAAGGACAGCTGAGGCTCAGTGGACACTGTCCTTTGGAGGGTGCAGCTATTCTAGTCGTTGTTGTTGCAGTTTGTTTTCTTTGTTACATTTGGAACATGAGGCTCTTGTTCTGAGCTTTCTTGCCAGGTGGTGTATCCTTCTGTCTCATCATTTTGGGGGTCTTGACTTGCTGATCCAAGGAGATTTACTTTTCCCTTTCCCATTGGAAAACCGCAAGGAGCAATGATTCTCCATGGAACACCACTAACTCCCTGTTTACCTGACTCTTTTATAAGAAGGATGGTCTGGAAGCTTGAGAAACCTTCCACAAACTCTTCCTTGAATTGTGACTTACTAATCGGCCAGAAGTCTGCTCACCATCCTAAACTTCATCTAATAATAGGAGAGAACCTGCTTTCATTCTGAAATGTTTTCAGCTGATACTATAACTCATACCTTTACTCAGAACTCACCATTGCCTCCATTTTCCCCTAACTTCATGATGCAGCGTGAACCTCTGAAAATGTGATTTGTCCCCCCCACCGCCCACGGATTAATGTTCATTGACCACCGGCGCCTGAAGACTGCGTGGCTGTAGCCAGGTTCATCTCATTCCCCAGCTCTGCCAATTTGCTAACTGACTGTCGCTTTAATCCTTCAGGAGTCTGGGGTTCAGTCTTCTCTTTTGGGTCTTTTCTTTTCAGACATGGATCCTACAAAAATCTGCACTGGGAAGGGAACGGTGACTCTCCGGGCCTCATCTTCCTACAAGGAAATCCCGAGCAGTACCCCTGTGAGCCCGCAGGAAACCCCACAACACGCGAGCAAACCAGGTGCGCTACCCCTTAGACTGGGGAGAGATGTTCAAAGCCATGTGGGAGGGGTGGGGGCTCACCTCCATGTCCCTTCTGTGAGGGGTAGTGGTCAAAGCCCTGCACTGACAGGTAGTCACATGCTTCAGGTGAAGGGACAACAGTGACCACTGCTTTATTTTAGCTTTGACTGAGCAGATAGCCCTGTTACAAAAGCCATGCTCTGCAGATTGCATCTGTGCACACACAACTGGCTCGGGGGCCTGGGGGTACATGGTGAGATGGGCTCGAGGTTGGGCTTCCCAGAGCTCAGTCCCGATTCCAAGAGTTTGGCTGTGACCTGTCAAGGCAGGACTGGCTGGAGAAGCAGCCAGGGGAGACTGAGAAATGCAGGTGGCTGAATGACCTTGCTTCCGGGAAAGCAGAGGTGGGCAGGGCTCAGGCCTGGGTGGGGACCAGCCAGCTGAGGGAGCAGGATGAGGAGTTCTATGGCCAGTGAGAGGAGGAGCAAAGAGAGATCAAAGGAGCCCTGTCAAGCTACCTCCACTCCCTGATCCATAACTTGGGGAACCTGAATGTTGAGGTTTAGAACTGGGGCTTTGGAACCTGATAGATCCGTGTTCACATCCTGCCTCCACCACCTGTACATTCTTGGACGAGTTGTTCACTCTCTCAACCCTAATGATCTCATCTGTAGAATGGGGTTGATAATTGGACCTGCCTCGTAGGATTATTGTGAGGAAGAAATATGTGAAACATTTTGTAGCATGCCTGGTGGCATGAAATAAACTATTAGATGTTAGCTGCTATTACTAGATTAGGATTATTTGGGCCTCTCTGGAGAGGGCTTTCCATAGCCCAGGTATTCTGGGAGCTGGGAAATGCTGACTTGGAGGTTCCATAGGCACAGTTAGTTTGGGGGAGACAGCCCCTCCCCACCCTGTAGGAAAGTTGGTTCTCACACTTTAGCCACATCGGAATCACCTGGAGTAAAAGGTCAGGTTGCTGGGCCCAGCCCAGCGCTTTAGAACGTATGATCCTGCTTGTAGGTGTGAGGTTTTACGTTTCTGACAAGTTCTTACATCATGCTGATGGTGCTAGTCCAAGGACCACATCTGGGAGCTGCTGCTATAGGGGATGGGAGTTTTCTTTCATGAAGGAATTGAAGGAAGGAATGGAGGATATGACCACTCCCTTGGGACGAGAGAGGAAAGGACGTGTAGGCCATGCAGACCCTTCCGGTGTGCTAAGATGGGATTGTGTAGGGTGGAGACAGTCTGTGTCCATCGTTATGGAGACTGACTTTCTTCCTGTCCCAGCTACCTGTAACAGGTGCCCAGGGAGATGCCTAGGGGTGAGGCCAGGCAAAGGTTTGAGCACAGGCCCCTTTCTGGTAATGTTGGTCCCTGGGGAGGGCTGCTTTATCCTTCGGCTGAGGGAAGGCCTGTGCAGCCCAGGGCGCTACCGTGAACAGAGCAGCTTCCTGGTCCTGTACTCCTTGGCCCACCCCGACTCCCGACCTGCTGCAGTTGCTTCTCTCTTCTCCAGGAGAGGTAGGGCCAAGGAAAGAAGGCAAAGTTATTTCTTTCTAAGGCTAGCTTAATCCTGCCTCTCTGAGCCTAACTGGGAAGACCCAGCTCCAAGCTGCGGGGAGGGGGGCGGGGGGCACTTGGGAAGAGAGAAACCTAAGGGATGGGCCAAAGAGAAAAGCCTTACCTGCAGCTCCACAGCTCAGTGAAATGACCTCATGAACTGCTCAGCCCAGCCCAGCCTCTGGTCCGGAGGAGAGGGAGCCTTGGGCCCCCTCTAGTGGCCACAGTGTGGTACTGACATAGAGCACAAATGCTGCTCCTCACCAAGTACTGTCTTGTACCACCAGCACCTGCTGTGAATTTGAGGCACTTTCGGAGGTGCTCTCCTGTCTCAAAATAATTCTGTATCTTACACATTTCTACCAAAGAATTTTGGTGAAAAGAGATTTCACCAAATAATTACCGATTTTTTTTTTTTTTGAGACAGAATCTCACTTTGTTGCCCAGGCTAGAGTGCCATGGCATCAGCCTAGCTCACAGCAACCTCAAACTCCTGGGCTCAAGCAATCCTCCTGCCTCAGCCTCCTGAGTAGCTGGGACTACAGGCATGCGCCACCATGCCCGGCTAATTTTTTCTATATATATATATTAGTTGGCCAATTGATTTCTTTCTGTTTATAGTAGAGACGGGGGCTCACTCTTGCTCAGGCTGGTTTCGATCTCCTGACCTCGAGCAATCCGCCCGCCTCGGCCTCCCAGAGTGCTAGGATTACAGGCATGAGCCACCGAGTCCAGCCTATTACTGATTGTTTTAAAATGCAAATACTATACTTGGAAGAATTAAGGGATAGCTATCATTCATTCATACCTTATAGTAAGTTAGACTTAGTGTTTTCCTCCTGGTAAGTTGGGATCATTGAATCCAATGAGCATACATTCACTCAGCATCCTCTGTCTGCCAGGTGCTAAGGAATTGTGATGAGAAATGGGGGAAGGGAGGAAAAGAGAATAATTCTGGCTACATTTGGTGAGGGCCAAAGGCCGTTTGTTGCAACAGAAGAGTCAGGCCTGGGTTCGTAGCCTGCTACCTTGCTTTACTTCTAGTCCAGGCAACAGACTGAGACTCTGTCTTAAAAAAAATAATAAAAAAGAAGAAGATGGGACAGTAAAAGTGATAGATGTGAGGGAGGAGGAGGACCATTGTCACTATGTGTCACCTGGTGTTGGAGAGCTTGCCAGGTGCTGCAAGGGTATCTCTGGTCCAGGGATCTAGATGGATGCCACAGTGGGTATTAAATATGGCCACTTTTAGAGACACTTGCACATACGTGATCTCTGATTCCTTAGCAACCCTGTGAGGAGTATATGGGGTAAGTATTATATTTCATAGCTGAGAAAGTGAAATTTATCATGGTTAATGAACTTGTCCCTGGTCACACAAGCCAGTACATTGTAGTGATATAAGCAAAACACAAGTCCTATAAATTTCCCAACTATTGTCATCCCTTGGTATCTGCCAGGGATTGGTTCCAGGACCCCCACAGATATCAAAATCCACAGATGCTCAAGTCTCTTATATAAAATGCATATAACCTACACACATGCTCCTGTATACTTCAAACCATTTCTAGATTACTTATAATACCTAACACAATGTAAATGCTATTTAAATATTATATACGTTTTTTAAATTGTATTTTTAATTGATTGTTATTTTGTATTTTTTTCTGGAATATTTTCGATCTGTAGTTGGCTGAATGCAGATATGGAACCCGAGGATTTGGAGGGCTGACTGTGTGTGGTTGTATGTCGGGGAGGAGACAGATAGCTATCAATCATCCATAAGAGAGTGGCAGAAATGTAACAGGCAACCTGCTGAAAGAATACATGTCCAAAAAGCTGTTTTATAGGGGAGAAAATGAGAAACAATGGTTACAAGTAGTTTTGCAGAGTGAGGATGTTTTCAAGTATACCTTCCATCAGTGGTTCTCAGAGTGTGGGCCATGCACCAGCAGCCTCAGCATCACCTGGGAACTTGTTAGAGATGCAGATTATCAGGGTGCCCGTCTTACCTGCTGAGTCAGAAACAACCAGGCACCGGTTCCAACGAGGTTTCCACCAGCCCTCCCGGCGATTCTGGTGCGGCTGTGCCGCTGCTATACTGGATGCAAATCGCTCAGAGCCCATACCCCTGCCTTGCCTTTTGCTCTGATTCCTTTGGCCCCCACCACCTCCCTGGAGCGTAGCTTCCAATTCATGGCTGTTGGTGTGGGTGGCGGCTGTGGGTGGCTGGCAGGGCATGGCACCTGAATTCTGGAGACTTAGACTGACTCCTTTGTCACTTTCTGGCTGTGTGACTTTGGGCAAGTCATATAGCCTCTCTGTTTCCTCATCCATGAATTAGATGATTACCCACCTTAGAGAGTTGTGGTGTGTGCTTGAATAAATACGAAATAGGTGTGACAGTGACTAAGTGCCTGGCATTTAGAGAAGTGTTCAGTAAATGTTTTTAAATCTCCACTTGACATCCGGAAAGCCCAGCTCTAGTCCCTGTGGGACCCATGTTGAGAATAGGGGCTTGGACTGCAAGTGCTGTGGTATTCGTCCCCTCTTTGTCTCTACACAGTGAGATAAGTGAAGCAGCCGAGGAGAAGAAGGAAGTTAAGGGACTGGCCACATTAGGGGTTGGCAAACTATGGCCGTGAGCGAAATCTGGCCCATGCCTGTTTTTGAACAGCCCTTGAGCTAAGAATGGTTTTCACATTTTTAAATGGTTGAAAGAAAAATCAAAAGAAGAATGATATTGTATGCCACATGAAAATTATATGCAATTCAAATTTTAGTGCCCATAAATAAAGGTTTATTGGAGCACAGCCACGCTCATTTGCATATGGTCTGTGGCTGCTTTTGTGCTACAGTGGCAGAGTTGAATAGCTGCGGCTGAGACCACATGCCCCACAAAACCTAAAATATTTGCTCTCTAGTCCTTTACAGAAAAGTTTGTGGATCCCTAGGCTGGATAGAGGAAAGACAGTAGAGACAGTTCTCATAACAACACTTACGAAGCAGGAGTATTATTATCCCCACTTTTCAGATGAGCAAACTGAGTCTTACAACTCGCCCACGGTCATAGAACCCATAGGTGGTGGAGCCAGGATTTGAATGGAGGCCCAGCTGCCTGCCCAGCCGAGCTTATACACACTGCTCTGCTGCCTCATGATGCCACGTGGGTCAAATTAGGAGAAGCTTTAGGTCTCTGAAGTGCATCGGGCCATGGCTGGCAAGTCTAAAGGGAGAACAGGGTGCCTTGTAGTGTGATGAACACTCGTGAAGGGGCGTTCGATTGTGAAATGTTATGTGGCTTGTTTAATGGAAAGAAGAAAATCAGGCAGGAAGAAAAATCCCTAACACAGCAGATACCTCTGGGCTTAAATCATACTGTACCCCTAGACCAGCACCCCCACCCTGGAAGAAGTGTTTATCCACGTGTCTCTCTCTCCCGGGCCTGTTCGTTAGCCTGGCCTGCTAATGAGGAGCAGTCATTCTGAGCCCACAGCAGGCTCGAGGAAGGGGAATGAGAGCTAGGGAGTAGGGAACGGACAGCGGAGAGTTCTGTTGCCTTTTTGTCTGTAAAATAAGAATGTCAAGGAACAATTGTTTCTTCATTCCTGTGAATGTGGGCCTTGTGTTTTCAAAGGTCAGCGCCTGTGAGCACATCATGGTTTAGAGTGGGTTCCTATGGTAATCAGGCCATCGTGACTGAGGGCATTTTGTGGCAGACAACAGTGTGCTAGACTTTCATCCTTCTGTGCAGTTCATGCTTGTTTCCTGCAAATGTAACCATTTCTGTTTTCCCCCTTTTTCTTCTTGTTTTCGTCCTTTCTTAACCACATGTAGGTCTGGAGCCAGAGCATTCCACAACAGGTATGGTTTCTCTTGCATTCTTACTGTCTTGCACTGGGCATACCTGAACTAGAGGGGAAATAGGGGTGTTCCCTGTGAGTGAGAGGTTTCTTCCCCCCCTATTTCTCAGATGAGTGGAGGCTTTCTTCCAATGCTGATGCCAATGGAAATGCCCAGCCCTCTTCACTGGCTGCCAAGGGCTACAGAAGTGTGCATCCCAACCTTCCTTCCGACAAGCCCCAGGTAGGCATGTGCCCAGGGGCAGGGTGGGGACTGGTGGGTGGTACCTGTTCTTGAGTCATTTAGCTTAGACTTGGGACTTCTGCTTTGCCCAACTGGATAACGGAATAGATTTCAAGCTTTTGACCAACTCTGGAAACGCTCTGCAAGGACCAGAGTTAGGAGGAAAGTTGAGGTCAAGCAGAGCTGAAGCTTGGAATGGGTTTGTTGTATACCAGGGTATTAGAAATAGGCCCCAATGTTTTCTGGGTTTGATATGTATGTGGAAATGTTCGGAAAGAGGGAATGCATTTAGCCTTCAATAAGTAAAAAGGTCTGAGGTTATTTTTTTTAAAAAAAAAAAACCTCTTTAGAGTATAATATTCAAGAGAAGAGTACATCTTGTGTTTATTCCATTTATTTTCTGGAGTTGGGGCTGTAAGAGTTCCAGCAACTGTATCCTTGCAGATTATGATCAGGTAGCTGTGGCCAGACTCTAAATCCAGCAGCCCAGGAACAGGCAGATAGAAGTCAAAATGGCAGTTCAGCGCAGCTTAAACCGCCCAGCTCTACCCTGCAAAAGAAACCCCTCCAAAGCTGTGCAAGTTGGAATAAGGATAATTGTGCCTAAGTCTTTTCCTCTGCATGGTTTTCCTGATCTTTTGTCCTTCTCCTCCCTATTGCTACTTTGCCATTTGGATGAAAGGAATAGACTCTGTTTTAATTCAGGTGATCTGTGAAGAGTGTTTTTACACAGAGGAGCCATGTTTGTGGAATAGAGCAGTCCTTTCTCTTAAAGGAAGCTGTGCTGCTCAAAAACTCTTACAGAGGCCGGGCGCTGTGGCTCACGCCTGTAATCCTAGCTCTTGGGAGGCCGAGGCGGGCGGATTGCTCAAGGTCAGGAGTTCAAAACCAGCCTGAGCAAGAGCGAGACCCCGTCTCTACTATAAATAGAAAGAAATTAATTGGCCAACTGATATATATATAAAAAATTAGCCGGGCATGGTGGCGCATGCCTGTAGTCCCAGACACCCGGGAGGCTGAGGCAGAAGGATCACTCGAGCCCAGGAGTTTGAGGTTGCCGTGAACTAGGCTGACGCCACGGCACTCACTCTAGCCTGGGCAACAAAGCGAGACTCTGTCTCAAAAAAAAAAAAAAAAAAAAAAAACTCTTACAGAAATGTGTTCCTTGTGTGGTACACTTCCTTGTGCCTTCCTTCTGTGGAGGTGCTCCCCGAACTCACAAGGAGTCTGGAAATTCCACAGTTCCTTCCTAATTCCCACCTCCTTCTTCAACAATCCTCTACCACTTGCTCCTGAGGACATAAAATTGCACTGGCCCCTGAAATGAAACTGACTTAGAGATGATGTTTTCCTTCCTCTCTGTAGGCTCCTATCTTCCTGGGCTGGGAGTTTGGCACTTTAGGTGTTTGCCTTGTGCACTGAGCTGCCCCCTGAAGCCTTTTTGCCACCTGCCATGACTTGCCTTGCTAAGTACGGCCATGTGCATCCAGGGCTACTGGTTAGAGCCAGGAGCTGCAAGTGTGCCTGGTCTCTTGAAGTCCTCCTCTGTGTCTCATTAGACACAGAGACTGGATGGTCACTTGTCCAGTGAGCCAACTGTCATAGATTTCCCATTTCGAAAGCCTTTCCCTGTGTACAGATGTGCTGCCTATGGCAGAGACAATCCCTTCTCAGCCATCCTACAGTCAGTTCTGTGCTGATTAATTCAACGTAAATGTAGAAGCACATTCTTTTCCACTATCAGTGATGTAGTCCAAAGAGTAACTCAGTAATTCCTTTTTGTGTCTTAAGCAGCTCTTTTAAAGAGATCATTTTAAAAGCCTATGAAGTACATAAAAATTCCTTTAAAATACATTTATTTAACAACACAGCTTTATCGAGTATCTCTGTTGTGTTCAGATCACTGTGTTAAACATTGCCCTCGAGGAGTTTATAAGGGTGAGCCTTGTAACAACAGTGAGCATCCTGTAATATCTTCTACAAACAGCATGTTTTCTTATCTGTCGCTATCCAGGAATTTTTTCTTTTTATTGGGGCTTCTTAAAGGGAACTGGGTAAATTGCTGATACAGAGTTTTTATTCTGCATATTCAGTGTAAATTGGCCATCCAAATTTCCAGAAGCTTTAGGTCATGCATTACCTCTTAGACTTGTTTTCCAAATGCAAACATGATTTCTTGCCTTTGTAGCCATTGCCAGGGCCATAAGTATGCACTGGCTGAGACAGAGCTGGGGTGGGCTGGGCTAGTGACTACCCTGGCCTGATTGCAGCCGAAGAAAGCTCTCAGACCCCTGCAGGCCTAGCATCTCCTCCTGGGGACTGAGTTGGGATCTAGGAGACCCGTGGCCTACATGAGAATCCTGTGTCCTGCTGGCCTGGACCTCCTGCCCTCTCTCTTCTCCCCCGGTTACAGGAAACCAGGGCTTTCCTTTCCCTGACATCATCATCATCACGGTGGTGCCCAGTCAAGGTGGGGATTGGTAGTTTCTGCAACTGTATAAACTATAAACATACTAGGTTTTTCAGTAAGCCTCATTTTTTTCTCTGACCACCTTCTAAAAAGATAAATGGAATTTCATTAGTAGCCAGCTGGGCAGAATGCAAACTGCCTGCGTGGTTCCTACAATGTTTACAATAAAACGAAAAGTAGTTCCTTCCACATAGAGTCACTATGCCAATCCCCCTGCTGCTTTAGGACTAAAAGAAGCCCCAGGGCAGGAAGACCTTTGGCTCCGAGTGCGCTGTTGATGCTCTGGGGAGCGTCCTCTCTACGGGGTCAAAACCCTGGGAAGGTTTAGGCCTGATGTAATGCAGCCCTGGCCCCATATATGGGCACAGCCTATAATTAAGTTTAAAACTCATTGAAGCTGATTTCTATCTTTGGACAAGAAGTAATTACTGTGGGACCGTAGAGCTCAAAGTAAAAGTAAATCTGAGAACAAATCAAAATGATCTTTTGCTTACCTCCATACAGCTATTGTCAGCTCTCCTGGCAGTCCCTTTGGGGCATGCTAGTCTAAGCATTTTGTTTCTAGAGAGCATTATGTTGTCTATAAATATGCCCCAACCTCCAGTCTAAAGTCACTGAAACCCAGTGTTCATTGAAAGCTTTTGCTGCTGCTGACTCCTAGAGAGGGGCTGTTTACTTTGGTTTTGCAGCTGGTACTTATGTCCATATGTCCACATTCCACTGGCACCATCATGGTGCCCTGTGGAAAGAACAGGCAGTGAGCTAACCTGGGATACCCAAATAGCTGCTTCTCCATTCTGCTTATCCGTACCTTGAAAACTGACTTTAAGGGATAGCTTACTTACTGTTTCTAGGTTGATATTCTAATCCAGACTCACAAAACTTTTTACATTTTTGACCTATTCACCCTTTCTAACATTCCTTCCCCTGCCACCTGTACTCTACAAATATAAAAATAAGATAAAATACAATCCCAAAATAGATTCAGATCTTTGTACCCTCCCAGTTTTTGGTCACAACCCATTTACCAGATATTTAACAAACTCTAATATACCTCACCTGTGCAATTTGGTGGAAGGTTCTGGTTTTCTTCTAGTACTGGGATATCTTTAAAGATAGGGGGCAGTGAGGAAAATCTAGGAAAGTGAACTCTCCTTATCTTGTGGTCTAATTCCCAGTTGAGCCACGTTGCCAGATGACTGTCATTGAAGTGAAGGTCAGTCTGGAGAGTCACCCCATTTCCTGACCCTCTGCCCCACTGAGAGCCGAGGAGGAAAGACCCATTGAGGGGAGAAGGAATGAGATGTAAACTATGGCTCTTGAGCTCTGAGCCTGTAACCAGAACTTAGGGCTTAAGTCGTGAGTCTCAGGCTGAGCATGGTGGTGGGCAGGATGGGGTGGGGCTGGGGCTGGATTTTGATAAACGAGGCACAGTGGACTCCAGTGGGCCGATTAAGAGCTTCATTGCTTGGTCCCTTTTTTGTGTGCATCAAAACTGGGAGACTATGTGCTTTTAATCTCATGCCTGTCTTCCTTCTAATGATAGAAGGAAGTTCTATCAATTCAGTTCCATTAAATTGTTTCCTCTGAGAAAAGAGCACACGTATATTCAAAAGTCCTTAGCATTCTCTTCTTGGTGAACTTTAATTTGTTATGCTTATGGAATTGAGTGCTAAATCTCAGTGATTCAATTAAGACACCTGTCTCTTATGAACACAAATAAGGATGGGATGGTTCTTCCAATTCTCCTTTTCCGAAGGGAAAAGAATGAAAGGCACTCAAAGGGGGTTCCAGTGAACTTACACTTTTAAAGCCAAAGATTTAAAGCCAAAAGTCTTGAAAGGAGGTTTGAGAGGGAATCGGAGGCTTTGGAGTGGCATTTTGTTCCTTTGGCACCCTTCTTGAGTCAGGAGGTCTAATAAAGATGCAGTCAACCGAGGATTGGTGTCAAAATTGACTTAGCATGTGGCCTCCTGTGGGCTCAGCCTCCCAGAGATGCAGAACAGAGTCAGGCTGCCAGTCCAGGTGAGTATGATTCAGCCCTTGGCTTTACCTGGATCTGACCGAGGATTTGCTTAAAAACATGTCAAGAATTGTTTTTTCTTTAGATGATGTTATGCTGCTATTTCTAATGGTCGTCCTTTCTATTTCTCCTCTTTCTTTTTGTCCCTGTTCTGATACCATGTCTTGAAAATACTGCTAAAGGTTTTCTCTCCCTCACGCCCTCCTCTCCCTAAAGAGGGCCGCTTTGCATGGCAGCTCCCCACCAGCCACAGTACCTATAAGGACTCCCTCTACCTGAGCTCACCTAAACCTTACGTCTCACCTGGCACTGCCAGCCAGCAGAACCCCTCACGACCCCGGCCCATCTCTGTCTCCCTGGCAGCTGGATCGGCTCCCAAAGGTGCAGCGTGTCCTGGTCCTTTGCTTCCAGAGTCCACATTCCTCAGTGCTTCATCCCAACCCCAGCAGCACTATGCAGCCACCAGGATAGTTGGTAGTAAGAATGTGAGCTCTAACCCATGTCATGAGGCAGTTGGGAATAAAAAGGTCAGCAGCTTATATGTACCTTGTTTATCCAATAACATTTGCCCAGCGGCGTCAGAAAACTCCTCTCGTGTTGCACGTGACCCGGCCAAAGGCACTGCCCTGGCGGCTGCAGGCACCCGAGCACCAGCTCCCAGCCCTGTCTCCCGCACAGCCGGCACAGGAAAACCACCCCCTGCTCCTCCTCCTGACCCTCCCACGCTGTTCTTCGACATCTGTAAAGATGCCGCTAACCGTGGTGAGAGTCCTTCCCTGGGGACTCGGGCTTCGTTCCCAGATGCAGTGAGACCACCTGTGCTAGGCCCCCAGATTACCTCTGATCCCGAAAACCGGAAGAGCAAAGAACCTTACCTTTTGCAGCCGAGTTATCCAGCCAAGGCAAGGAATTAGGAATGTTTGTGTGTCTTCTACACTGTCTCTTTCCAAACTGACGCGAGCAGCCCGTTTGTTCTCTGGGCTGCCCTACCCTCCTTTTCCGCCTTAATACTGCTGTGGCTCACATCCTGAATTCTCTCTGAACATCTCAGCACAGTGCTCACTCTGCCTCTGTCTCTCTCTCCTTTCTGTAAATGTGTAAGTATGCTGGGGCATGGAATCCATTCTCTAGTAACATGGTAAGATACGGAGTGTTTATGTTTTATAACAAGATGCTGGAGAAATTGCATTTATCCCAAGCTTTCAAGCTCTGCAGTGGTTTTGTGGGTTAAACACAGCCTGCCTGTTCTGTTGTTGTCTCTCTTTCTCTCTCATAAAGTGTTAAAAGGATTCAAAAATAGATGGATGGAAAGTGAAGTTGGACGGGGCTCCCTCTGTGTCATAGCGTATCAGGAGGCCAGCTGGCTCACACCCCGTCTCATGTACTCTGAGGAAAGGGCACCGATAACATATTTCTTAGAGTACATCATTGCATGTCCACTCTCGACCGTTTAAATATGGAATTCCTTTCTCCCTGTCATACCCCTTTACATAACGACCCCCTTATTTCCCACAGGGTGCCACTTCCACCAGCCCAGCCCAGCCCGAGGTAATAGTGGTCCCTCTCTACCTGGTTAATACTGACAGAGGGCAAGAAGGCACTGCCAGACCTCCAGCATCTCTGGGGCCGCTGGACCGCGTCCCCACAGTCCCGGCGACCGCCCCTGCCGCCTCACCTCTGACCTTCCCAACTCTAGACGATTTCATTCCCCCTCATCTGCAGAGGCGGCCCCACCACAGCCAGCCGGCCAGTGCGCCTGGCTCCCTTCCCCCCGTTAGCCAGACACCACCATCCTTCTCACCACCACCTCCGCTGGTCCCTCCCGTACCGGAGGACCTCCGCAGAGTCTCGGAGCCTGAGCCCACGGGAGCCGTTTCGAGTACCGTAAGCTTGCTGGACTTCCCTCCCCATGGCTTTCCTGAATGTCTGCTCCTAGCAGTAGAACTCCCTTTCTCACTGAAGTACTAAGTTCTGAGGAAAGCGTTGGCTGCGCTGTGCTTGTGTGATGACTAGACCCGTGTCTGCTGTCACTAGAGTGCATGCTCCCACGTGTGTCCCCTTGGCCTCTTGCGGCTGTTCACAAGTCCCTCAAGTCCCTCTTCTCCTCTGTCCTGTTGGGAATGCACACCTTCCTGAAAGAACTTTGTTTTCCCTCCGAGAAAACATCATCTGTGGCCTTTACTTTGGCCAGTCACGCTCTTCACAGGCCAGGCAGGCGCGGCGCTGGGAGCCGAGGAAAGCCGAGGAATTGTGTGGAAAGGCCAGCGGCAGGCGTGGTGCCACGTGCAGTCTACCAGGGAGCGGGGGGATTCTCAGGGAGGAAAAGAGTCACTCTTTCATTGATTTGGTAACTAAACAGACTTTCTTGTTATAGATAGAAATGACAGAGACTGGGATTAAAAAAAAGAGAGAGAGAGAGAGTTGGGTTTAATGAGCAAATGGGCCTGAAAGCCTTGTACACACGTGAGGACTGTTTCCTCCAAAGTCGGCCAACTGCGAGGGCCCCAAGGAGGAGGTCTCAGGAATCTCTGTGGCAAAACGGGGCTCCAGTGGTCATGGGAAGTTAAAGGGCCCTGACACCTCAGGTCCCATCCTAGGAGCAGGCAGGGCTGGGTCCCTGGGTCCCTCCAGAGGTGGCAAAGCCCAGCCGCTTTAGGGAAAAAGCTGAGTCAAAAAGTACTTGGGGGTCTGATTTTTCCTCAGAAGCTCTGAGGAAGTGAGAGAATCTGAAAGAGCTTCAGTGTGAGTTGTAATGTGAGGATACATGGATCCACTCACAGGGCTATGAGGGTGAGTGGGATTGAGTAGTAAAAGTTCCTGCCGTGGTGCTTGGCCACGAGAGAAAGTGCCCAGCGAACGTTAGCTGTGTCGCTGAGGACCTGCCCTAGCAAATGGGGCCAGAGTCACTCACAAGTAGGTAACTGGTTAATTCACAATGAATCATTGAGTTCCTACCATGTTAGAGGCATTCTGTTCACTACCTTGGGTACAACCATAAATGAGTCAGGCCCCCTGCTCTCAAAGGTTTTTTTAGGGCTGGTTATCAGTTCTCCAGCCTGGTATACATGGGATCTCCTGGGGGACAGGGAGGCTTGTTTAACTGGTCACCTCCAGGTTATTTTCTGAGAGCTTCTGATTGAGTGGGTCTGAGGACAGCCCAGGACTCTCAGTAGGTAGCAAACACCCCAGGGCTCTAAATGCCCGGAGTTCACAGACCACATGTGGAGATACAGTTATCTAGTGAGACATGCAGTTAGCTGATGGGACCACACGTTCGCTGACATCCTTTTGTAGGAGGTATGCCTGCAGGACTGCTCCAAGTGGCTCGTTATGCTGAAGCCAGTCATGTAGAAAGCAGGAAGGAAACCTTTTATTTGGCTTGTTAGAGAAATTATAATGAGGCATCAGGCACACCAAAGCTGGGAACGGCTACATTCTGGGCTGGGGCTTCTCATATCTCTAGATACAGCACGATGTAGTTAGGTCAGGACCAGGTCAAACATATGGCCCATGGGCTAGGGTATCCTTCCAGTTTTGCACCTCAGCCCTGTTGGAGAAAAATGCTAGATTGTTTCCTGATATATCCTGCCCCCTCCAACTGAACTTGGAATCCAGAAGCCACTCTTGTTTGGGGGAGTGAAGGCATCTTCCCTTTGCCACAGAGTGTTTCTCTAGAGTAAAGTGAGTTTTATGTTTAGTGCACTCACATACCATTGTGAGTAGGGTCGTTGTATACCCTATAATTTACCATTTGTGTAGATCTAGGTTTTCATATCAAGTTTGTTTCAGGTGTTCCAGGACAGATTAGTTGGGTCAGTGTTTTCAATTTCTCAAACCTGACCGATCAACCTGGTTGAAGACTTCCCAAAAAGACTTCATTTGGCCTGACAACTCCTAGTTTGGCCCGGGTAACAGAGTAAGAGGTGAAAAAGGAAACTTGGATTCCCCCACTGAATGAGATTGTCAGGAGGAGCCGCTATGTGTGGTTTCCCAGCCCAGAGCTGGTACCTGCTCCATCTGCAGCTATTTGAGGGTAAGAGGGAAGAATAAAAGTCATGTTAATTGATCCGAGTTCTTTTAGTCAATAGCTGTTCTTGTGATGTTCCAAAAATAAGACACAGTAAAATTTATAAAATGCTTAATGCTCATGTGAACCACCCAAACCTCACGTTAGGCATTTATACTTTAAAGAGCTGTATGCCTGATGTTTTGTGTTTGTTGGGTGCATTCTGGCAGAGTTTTTAATGATATGTCATTTATCTTCATTATATTACTTTGGAGATAAATTAGGAAAAGTGTAATTATTTTCCACTTTATAAATGGAGAAATCAAAATGAGGCACTTTTATACAAGATCATACTGTGCTTTGTGCCTCTCAAGTCTTGGGAAAAGGTTTTATTCACCAAACTGAGCTGCCACTCATAACTAACAGCAGCAGCTATTTAGAGCACATTCAGAAGAGATAGAGGAACCTAGGCAGTGTTTACAAAGCTCCTACTGTGTGTCAGGAGCTGTCCCAGGTGCTGACACCCACATCCTCTCTTTTGATGAGCATGTGTTTTCTTGCCACAGACATTTGCTCAGACATACCTTTGCTGGTAGATGGCTTCTGTCATTCACATGGCATTGGCTGAGCACCTGCTATCTGCAGAACATTGTGCTTGGTGTGGGTAGGGGATGGCCCTCATTCTACAGATGTTTGTGTAGTCTTTGATTATTGCTTCAAGAGTAACTATCAAATTCTTCTTAAAGCCCTTTAAGATGAGCACTCTGGCTTTAGGGGTTGTAAATTCTAAAATAGAAACTTTTAAACATGTATAGATATGGAGCAAACTGTCTAAATACCCTTACTACATTTTGGGATTATATTTTCATTTGTTTATAAAGACTGGCATTATCCACAGTATGCAGGTTATAATGTTTGTAATCATTTATTTGGTGTTTCTGGCAGAGACACCTTGGTTTTTAAGATTAGGATTCTCACAAGTCTTTATATCAGGGATCTTTGTCACTCTAATATTAGAGTAAAAAAAGATCACAGTAGGATAGGATAATATCCAAATCTCAGAAGCAAGCATCAGTAAAATTGCTCAGTGATGCTAATGCTAAGAGTAGCTTTTCGAGAGAACCGATACTTAACTCTAGCCTGTTCTTACTTCCATGTCTTCTTTTCCTCAACATTGTCTTACATTTCTCTACACAGTATACTAAACTTTCCTGATTTTTCCCAGTTAAACCAGCTCTTGTTCTTGGATCACATTTGGAATTGCATGGTTTTGCATGTTATTCTACTTTGATTTGGATTTGCTTTTCCAGTAACCAGATTGACCAACCGCTGTTACCAGGTGAAGATACTGAATGATGTTGCTGAGACTTTCAGTAGCATTCACCTTCCCCCTCTCTCCCTTCACTAATACCCACAAAGAATTCCAGATTAAACTTCTAACTGGAATTAATGATATGATGTGTCTCATTGATTGCATTTCTTTTTTTTAATTAAGGTCTCTGTAAAGCTTTAAATTTCTTCTTTTTTTAAAAAAAGCATTAACTCTAGATATCTTATATATACAGTTAGTTACATTGTTTGTTTTCTTTTCAGGGTTCCAGTCCTCTATTAAATGAAGTTCCTTCTTCCCGTACTGGAACTGATTCCCAAGCCTTTACACCAGTTAGCAAGTCATCTTCCGCCTACCCTTCCACAACCATCGTCAATCCTACTATTGTGCTCTTGCAGCACAACCGAGGTAAAAGAGTATTGCGGTGCCCACTGGAATAATCGACATAGCTAGTCTGTGATGTCTGGGGCAAGAATTCTGTCATTCCACAGAAATGTGCAGAAGTGCCATCATTCCCCAAGGTCATCAGCCCCAGCTTACTAATTCCCATGACCCACAGAATAGATCCCAGCAAACAGACGTCCCTGATCTGGGGGGATGTCAGATGTCTGAATAAGTAAGCTGGTCTAGTGCATATCCTACACCTTGGGTGCTCGTGGTTGTCTTCTTCAGATGGTAACACCAAAAAACAGAAGAAAGGGAAAAGTTTGTGTCTCTTAATTTCTCATCATGAGTCTTCTAATTAGAAGTTTAGCTTGGAAAATGTAGGTACATGATACATCTTTTAAGCAATGTCATAAATGATTTAGTTCTTTGACACAATGAGTTTTCTAGAAAGCAGAATTTTGAGTACCAGATTTAAAAAAGAAAACTTACTGGGAAAGAAAATTTTCTAGAATGTAAAACATGTTTTTGTGCATCTAAAACAGTGTTGAACTTTTTCTTGGTGACTCACTGCCCCTCCTTCTTGTCAGCAGTTACTGCACCGGGCTGTTATTCTGTGGCCCCTCAGGGGACACAAGGTTCCTGTGGCTGTTTGTCACCACGCTACGTGGCCCCAGGCAGCTCTGCTTCGAGTCTGCATGCTTATTTTCTGTAGCTTCTCTGACTGCTTCTGGTGGTTCTTCTGCTTCTCTGAAGGGGCCTTGGGTTTGGGTGAAACAGAAGCATTTAAGGGAGCAATTGCGTGTGTTGACTCTTCTGCTTTAAAATTCCAGACAATGGTTCTAAATCCCAAGCTCTCCTTTTTGGAATTCCACAGAGGAATAAACTTTCCCTTTACAAAAGTCCTTTCTAGCATGAGATGTAAAGTTTCCAGGCTTTTCTATTGTAGAAAGGGCTTTTTAGTCTGAATTCCAAAGAACAATTGGGGTTTGATTATTTTCTTCAGAGCTCAAAGCTCAGCACCGAATTATCCTCTTGCCTCCCTGCTCTCCTGACTCACAGCTTTCCTCTCCTCCCCTCCCCCTGCATTAACTTGGATGAGAATGGGACTGGAGTCTATTTTTAATTGTTTTCCATACTAAACAGAGTTTTCTGTTTCCTGCTTCTAATTTGAAAAGTAGATGAATAAAACATTTTCTCTCACTTCAGATCTTCCCACTGAAGTCTTAAATAGTAGTTTTAGTAGTTTTGAAGGTTTTTTCCCGCTATGTGTGGCTCTCATGTTAATTGTTACCTATAGACCTGTGTTTTTCAGAAGATAACGCACGTCCCAGCCCCCACACTGAACTACGCAGGAGCCTGTTCTCCACCAGCTAAGCCATGGCCCTTAAGGGAAGTAGCTCGCCATGCTCAGAAAGGGTCCACAATGCAGGACAAAGTGCAATTTTGGTTCTCTGAACTTCTTTGTGACTCATTTTTAAAGAAAAGTTTTAGTCAAACAGAAGCAAGTTAGTTCCCAGAAGGAAAGGCAGTTTCTTTAAAAATGGGATTTATTCCCAAGGCAACTTGGTGTTTGGGAAATGCCTAGTGTAATGTCAGCTGCTTCTGCCAAGTCCCTCTGATGATACCTAGTGAGACATCTTTGGGCACAGAAATAAATGCCGATAGTTCCTTTTGGTTTCTTCCTTGAACAGATGAATTCCCCTTATTTACCCAAATACCTCTGGTTCTTTCTCTTTTGTCCAAGTCCTGTCCTTGGATTTAGAAATCAGAATTATGCAGCCTGAGACAGACGTCCTTCAGAAAAGGGTATAAATAATGGTTTTAGTCTTTTGGAATTAAATGGTGGCTCCCATCAAGAGCAAAACCATATGTTCACTAAGCAGGTAGGGCAGGAAGAGTCGAGAAGAATAGAAGAGCCTGGCTGGCCCAGCCCTGCATTTCTAATCACAAATGGGGCTTAGGTCAGGCGCTTTTGGCATTGCTTTGGCATTTACCCAACCTGGCAGCTCTGCATTGCTTCATAAACAATACTCACAAAACAATTTCTTAACTATTGCAGTCTCCTGAGGGAATGATAACTTTATTCCAGTTCTGGCATTTTAGTTTAGTCATCTTAAAAATGTTCCCCCCTTTATTCTGCCTAGACTGTCCCAGGGCACAGTGTGACAATAATCCTGTCTTTTCCCGCCAGCTGCTGCTGCTTCCTAGCGGGTGCTGAGCCTCTGGTCTGGCACTGACCAGAGGTCTGGTTATAAACCATACAGCCCTTTTCCCCTCTTTGCTGAGTTTTCACCCCTCGTGTATTTGAGGACAAATCACTTACCAGCAGCCTGGGAAGGAGGGTTTCAATCAGGAAAGTCTCAGGACAAAAAGAGGCACATGGGTCCCTGTGCTCAGTGCTTCTCAGTCTTCATTGTGGTTAGGATCCTGGGAATCTTGTTAACTTCCAGGTTCGGATTCAAGAGGTCTAAGGGTTGGGGGACGAGAGGCTGCATTTTTAGCAAGGATGCTGGGCACGCTGGTGCCGCTGGCCCACAGACCACATTGGAGAAGTAGGGTGCAGGGGTTCCCAGACTTATCTTATGAACACATCAATCTAGGGATCACCCCAGGGTTTTTTATTTCTGACTTTGCTAAGTAACACCACTGAAAACAGCTACTCCTATCTGCATTGAATGTCATCTTGTGAAAGAAAGGCCATTCATACCCCAGAATTGGGTACAACATAATTTTAAAAATTGAATATGTCCACTTTGCCGGCTGGAGAAGGCCCTGCCAACAGCCTGCAGAATAGTTTGGGAACCACCTTCAGATACTATGAAGCACTTTGATTTAACAGATGAGGAAACTGAGGCCAAGAGGTTATGTGATTGGCCGTTGTCATCTGCAAATTGCTGGCAGAGCTGAGCCTGGAGGTCCACCGGGCTTCTGCTTATCTAGCCAATGTGAACCTCATCCACGTGGCAGAAGTGGACAGGCGCCACTGCCACCAGCTGTGAGCTCCCAAGCTGCCCTCTGTTTCCTTCTTGTCCACACTGGGTCTAGCAGGAGGTGGGGATGCAGCCAAGGGGGATGATCACAGTACCCGTGGGCTGGCAAGTGTTCTATTTTTATCTATGTGGCTGCTTTATATTTAGCAGCTGTGGAAGGTAAAGGTCATTTTTGTACTTATCTCATAGCACGTACACATGGAACCCTACAAAGACAATGTTGGCCTCCACTCCACTGGGGTGCCCAGGATGGCAAGAAGTTGATGTTAAGGACCAGCTGGGCTTTGGTGATTAGAGTTGGAAAGAACCCTGGGCTAGGGGTTGGGGGATCCAGCTGATTTTTCAGTGTTATCTTGGGGTAATTTGTGCCCTTTATCTGAAGTCTCTCAGCTACTGCCAATTTTCTGAGGATTTCTCCTATATCCTGGACCAGCCAGATTGCTATAGTGACTAAGGCTGTGCCTTAGTTTCCTCATCTGTACAGTGGGGTGAATATTCATACCTAACTGCTAGGGTTGTTGTGAAGACTACACATGTTGTATATAAAAGCTCTTAAAACAGTGTCTGGCACTTAGCAAGCTTTCAGGAGACAGTCACTGCCGTGGTTATGATTGTAATTACATTTCCCTTGAAAGGTACTAAGACTGGGGTCATAGAAAGTCCTGTTCCACTTGAGGCCAGGAGAGATGGGAGCATCCCCTTCAGTGATGTGATCATCTTGAGACAAGATGTAAATGCTAGAAAACCGTGGTGGTCCCCTGAACCCTGGTGCCTACCTGGGGCAAGGAGGGATGGGAGACAGTACACCTGCATGGTGGGAGCCACCGTTAATGCCCCTGTGGTCAGCTGAGCTACATTTTGTAGCATCTAAGCCCAGAAGACAGTAAGGACGCAGAATCGGGGTCCTAACTAGTTAGGCCAGGAATTCTTGGTCTTACTATGTGCTGTGTAACTCTCACTCACACTGTGTGTTCTTTCCTTTTATCACAGAACAGCAAAAACGACTCAGTAGCCTTTCAGGTAGGTGTGAAATATTTATTTACATGTTATTAACCCATGTTCCTGTTAAAACCATCTTCTGGTCACCACTTAATGTTTGATCAGCAGAATTTCCCGAGCTGCTCTGATGTGGGGACTGTGTTGGTGGCTGGACTACTAAGGTGATGAAACAGGCATAGTTCCTGCCTCCCTGGATCTTACAGGCTGGTGGGCAGACCAGACCAGTGACCCAAACTAGTAAACGTGTTCCATGGAGCTGTGACAAGTGCCTCGATGGGTAAAAACAGTGTTCTGGGTAGAGAACAGGAAGTCCTATGTCAGAGGCAATGTTCACGGCACGCCTCTCTGAAGAGGTCTCTCTTCTGCTGCTTCTGTCTCCCTTCCAGTCTGTGATGAGTCAGGGCTTGGGAAACATGGGCACGTTCGTTCTTCTTTGGGTGGCAAGCCCAACTGCCTGTAGAGAACCCTGATGGGACCAGGTGAAACCTTTCAGATCAGCAGTGCCCGGAAGAGAGTGCAAGAAAACTGCTTCTTGAACTTGAGCCGGCATCAGAAATTCCTGGAGAGCTTGTCAAAACTCAGATTCCTGGGCCACGCCCCAGAGATTTGGATTTAGTGGGTGTAGGTGAAAATGCGCAGTTCTGACCAGCTCTCCTGGATGCCGACGCTGCCCTCGGTGCTGAGCACAGCGTGAGTGGTCAGTGGCGGAGAGACCGCACGTGCAGCCAGACCATCGCTGTCCTCCCTGGTGATGTGCAGGTGGGGCAGTGTCCGGTGGGGAGGGAGCCCAGGAAAGGGAATGCTTAGCTCTTTCCCTGTGGCTTCCTGTAGCTATTCTGCTTTGACTCCGGGGTCTACCACTTGCTAACAGTGGGTGTCACCTCAAGCGGGTTATCTAATGTCTGGGCTTGGGTTTTCTTATCTGTCAAGTGGGGAAAGCAGTAGTGCCTCCCAGGTTGTGTGAAGATCACATGGGATTCTGCTGTTCAACAGCACTGAGCTTCGGCACCTCTAGGTGCTTAATAGATGTGACTGACTGTTACCGGGAGGAGCCTTGTGGGCTCGCTGGTCGTTTTGTTGAGTGCTTCCTTTGTGTCCAGCACCAAGCCAGGCTTTGAGGCTGCATTAGGGACCTGGGCTGCCCTGAGCAACTAACGGTGCAGTGTGACAGTTTGTAGCCTTTCTTTGGTCATGGACTCCTTGGGAGAATCTAGCGAAGGCTGTAGATTCATTCTCCGGAAAAAGCCACACCTGTGAAAGCATGTGCATGTGATTTGTGTGCACTTGTAGATACTTATGAACTCCAGGGTTAAGAACCCCTGATTGGGTGGACAAGCAGCTGCTGTGTGATTTCTGTGTGACTTCATCCCACTGCCGTCCTTATGATTGGTGGCGAGTCCTGGAGGGCACAGGGTTCCTACACCCTCTCGGCTTTATCAGGACTTGGCTGCTGGGCTAGGACACGCTGTGGTTGAGTTCAGAGTGCCCTCGGCTGCCCCTCTCGAGCTGCCATACTCCAGCCCCCTTCATTCCCTGGCCCCAGCCCAGGTTGCTGAGAACACGGTGGCTCCAAAAAGAAAAGTGGCTCCCGCCGGCCCCTTCCTGCCTGTGGGAGGTGGAAGCAATGGTGAAATGGACAAAAAAGGTTAGGAGACCCTGAGTTTGTCCCAGCTCTTCCTTCTTAGAGCTGTTTGTCCCTGGGTGAGTGACTTCACGTCTCTGAGCCAGTTTTGTCATGTGGGAAATGGGGGTGACAGTCCTTGCACCTGTCTGGAGGAGGCGTCATATGTGACAGAATGGGGAGGATGCTTTGCACTTTCGAAAAGGCCATGTAAATGCGCAGACAGCTCCACCGTGCGGGCAGGAGGGGGCTTAGGCCAGTTCCTCATCTCTAAGCTAGGCACGATGCTGCCGCCCTCTGTGGGCGCCAGCTGGGTTGGCGCTCTGCAGTCTCTGTGCCTGGAGCAGGCAAGGCTTTGCCGCCACCTTGGTGATGGGACTCCGAGACCACCAGCCGCCCTCCCTTCAGCAGATTTTGTTGAGCTTCAGTGGAGCTTAATGCTTGATGAGTCATCCTGGAATGAAGCCTGCGCCGTGGTATTTGGCCTCATGTAGCTCATGGCCCCCTTGGAGAGTCCGGATAACAAGAAAAGGGCTGGGAAGGAGGGGCTGTCGTTGGAGGTCGAGAGGCCACCCCCGTCCCAGGAACGTGTGCACATTGCCGTAATCCCCAGGCACCAGGCTCTGGTGTGATGAAAAGGGCAGCTACCCCACCTCCCACAAACAAGCCCTGTCTGAAGTTGGTTGTTTTTATTTACTCTGGGTCTAGAAACCCTGAGCATGGCATGCCTATGACCTTCATCATTATCTTGTATCAGGAGGAGGGTGAGCACCTCCAAGCACTGCATGAGACTAGCTTGAAATCAGCCTCATCTGTCCTGATCATACGTGGGGGTCTCTCTAGCAGGAGGAGAACCGCAGCAGCTGTACTAAGGGTAGACCCTCTGCCAGATCGTAGGCCCTGTGTTCGAATTTCCTGGGAGCATGAAAACTCTTCCCATAAAGCCAGTCTGGTCTGAACATCCTTTAAAGTTTGCGGTGCTGATGCGAGGCATCAGGTTTCTGAACCACGTACAGGATGAGAAACCATTTAGAAGTTAGATTGCAATTTGGGCAGTCACCCTCTTGAGTAGAATGAGTTGCAAAACCTGAGCATGCTGACGTCATTGTCTCCTCAACTTCCCCAGCTCCCTCCCCACACAGAGGCCTCTGATGTTGTGATCATGACTTTGGGTCCCTCCTTTTTGCCCAGGCGTAGTCCCCCAGCCAGCACTCTGCAGTTGTCCTTTCTCAAAGATGAGAAGCTGTCCTCAGTCACTGAGCACATATTTGTTGAACACTTATTGACTGCCAGAGCACATCTCAACACCTCCATTCTCACCTCAGGGCCTTCGCCGATAGGGCTTTAGTTCCCCTGGCTTAAACTTTTTTGCCCCCTAATCTTTTGCCCTCTCTGATACCCTCCTTCCTCTGTACTGAACTCTCCACTTCTTGTCCCCGCTTCCTGCTCACACATTCATCCTGGTCCCTGCAATCTGGCCCCTACCCCCACTGCCCTCCTGAAATTGCTCCCTCCAAATGTTCCTGTGACTTTTCTCTTGCCTAATCCTGCCGACGCCTCTGCTTCAATTTCTGGGTTGGTTTTCTTTTGACACGTTTAACCACCCACTTGGGATTCTGCCTGCCTGGTTCAGTGGCACCTTGCTGTACTCTCCTGGTTCCGCTCGTGTCCCTCGGATGACTCTTGCATGGGTTCCGGGATTCTTCTGCCTTGCAGCTTGCAACTAGCTGTGGCTTCCCTCGGTGCATGACGTCGGCGCTTGGCTCTGCCCTCACTTTTCTCCACTGAGCTCTGCCTTCTCCTTGACACCAGTGTCACTTTTGTGCTGATGCCTCCGAAATTGCACTTCTGCCAGGGCGTTGCACCCGGGCTCACTCCATATCTCTTCTAGGGGTCTCTGGGGCGTTTCTGCTGAGTGTCTCACTCCTCCCAGAGTTACTGTGGTGTGACTGGAAGCAGTCCTTTCTCCCTCCCTTCCCACCCAGTTCCCTTTCTTAGCTTCTCTGTCTGGGTTAGACCAGGCTCCCAGACCTGAAGCCTTGATGCCGTCTTTGAGGGAGGCAAGACAGGATGTGTCAGAGAGGACTGCTGGGGTCAGGTGGACACTAGGCTAAGTCCCCACTTGGCCAAGTGCTGGCTGTGTGACCCCACACCGGGTACTTTAACGTCTCTGTGCTTTGGTCCTTTATCTAAAAGGGGGGGGGGCAATGATAATTTCTTCCTCATGGGTTATTGGGAGGATGAAATGAAGCAAGGTGTATGAGAAGTTTCATGCAGTCCTGGCACATAATGCACTCAGAGCTGCTCAGAGGCCTCCACTCGTTTGCTTGTGCCGTCCCTCTGCCCGGAGCACCTGTTCCTCCTGCCCGCTGGTTGGCTTCTCTGAGAAGTCAGCACTCATCATCCCGCATTCTCATTGCTGGCTGCCTTGCGCTTTCTGCCCACTGGACTGTAAGCTCCCCGAAGGCAGGATTTTCACATGTTCACCCTCCTGTCCACAGGGCAGAGCACGGTGCCCTATGCTTAGTAAATACCTCTCCAATAAATAAATGACACGGCTTGGAATAACAGATTCTGTTATGTAATTTTATAATCACTAAATTACGTCTGGTATGCTTATTAGCTCTCTATAACTTCCAGTCTTGAACCTAATGAAATAATTTATGACGTGCACTTAGCGATGTACAGCTTCCTGAACACTTTGGCATAAATTGTCTTGATAAGTTCTCTCTCAGCGCTGCTGTGAGCTTGCTGAAAGCTCGTGGAAGTGTTATTCCTACTTTTGGATGAGAAAACTGAGACACAGAAAAGTTAAGCGACTTCCCCAAGAGAAAACAAGAATTTTCAAGTAATATTTGGCTGCCTCCTTGTGATTCTACCTGCTCTCCCAATTTCTAGAGCAGTCAGAACTATTCAGATGTCCAGAGCACCGTGTGCACACCTCCGCATGGCTCTTTCACACTTCGGCACAGTTTTTTTAAAGGGCTAAACAAATATTTTAGGCTTTGCAGGCCATAGGGTTTCTGTCACAGCTACTCAGCTCAGACCAGGTAGTGTAAAAGCAGCCGTAAATAATGTGTGAACCAATCGGTGTGGCCGTGTTCCAGTGAAACTCCACTTGCAAAACAGGTGGCAGCCGTAGTTTGCTGACCCTTGCTTTAAGCAACTAGCTCCTATGGAGGATTAGCAAACACACTATCCCCAGCTGGACTGCTCAGGAGTTTTTTTTTGCTTTGCAGCTACCAGAAGAGCTTCAGCTAACAATTACTTTTCATTTCCAGATCCTGCCTCAGAAAGAAGAGTGGGAGAGCAGGACTCAGCGCCAACCCAGGAAAAACCCACCTCACCTGGCAGGGCTGCGGAAAAGAAAGCGAAGGATGACAGCAGGCGGGTGGTTAAGAGCGCTCAGGACCTGAGCGATGTGTCCATGGATGAAGTGGGCATCCCTCTCCGGGTACGAATACTGGCCTAGAAGTCCTTTTCAGTCTTCATCACAAACAAGCCATGACAAGTGTACACTGAGGACACGTGAACCCCATCAGTGGGTCACAGAGGCCTTGTAGGGAGGGCCCGCACGCTGTCAGCTCTGCAGGCCTCTGAGTGCTGGAGCCCCAGCAGCCATGCCCCAGGCGTGGTGCGCAGCAGCTCTTCCCAAAGCAGGTGTTGGGTGTACAAGGTCTTGGGAACAAAGAATTTCATGGTCAAATGAATATAAGGAGAAGCTGGGTGGAACTAAGAGACACTTCTGTGCTGCAGAACTTCTGAGAGGCTTTGGGTATGGGAGTGCTCAAGAGACAACGTTATGGACAGTCTTCCTTCATGATGGCTCTGCAGAGCATGTTCAGAAATCCTTGGTCTGGGGTTAGAGAACCCTGGGGAGAGTATAAGGCCCCAGGGTCCCTGTATAGGGGTTTGGGAAGAAGATCCCCCTGGATGGGAGAGGCCCCTTCATCCAGAGTCAGTAGGAAACCCTAAGGAAACTTTAGAAGGGATTCAGCCAGCCAAGCCTCCCTGACAGAGCAGGTCTTGTGGCAACCCTGCCCCAGCTGTCCCCTGCAGGCCCTAGGGAATTCCAGGGAAGCCCAGCTTTTGGAACTGACTTCGGGTGAATTCCATTCCTCTCCATGTGTTCCCCAGACCACTGGCTGAAATATGTTCCTCTGATTTCCATTTAGCAAATGTGCCCTTGTTAGAGGAGGTTAGTAGAAAGGTCAATGGGCTAAGCCTCAAAAGAACTCTTCTCCAGTCCTACATGTGTAATATAGAAAGAGAATTTTTAGGAGTAATAACAGCTCCCATTTGCTGAGGACATTATCTCATTTAAACATCACTCACCTGAGTGGTAGATATTAATATCATTTTCATTTTATAGATGAGGAAATGGACTTAGAGGGATTGCATTATGTGCCCAAGATTGCACTACTTGTGTGTGACAGTCTTTCCAGCTCCCAAACCTGCACCTTTAACCATTGTGTCATATGGCCCTTCCACTCTCCTCACCAGCTCTGTGACCTTGGATGATTCCCGTTGTCTTTCTGTATCTCATTTCCTCATCTGTAAAGTGGGAGTGAGAATATCTGCACTAACCACCTGTCACCCTTGTTTTATTTTTATCTTAAAGAAAAAACAAAACCCAACCCTCCCAACTTTGTGGTTAGGTTGACAACTCTAGCTTTGGATGCTATACTGGGTTGTGTTTTAATGTATGCATTCTAAATCTGGCCCTGTGCAAGGTGACTTAGACACATTTCTACAGAATAACCTAGCATGAGTGAGGACACAGCATAATAAGCAAGAATCCTTTGTCCCTTATGTTTTTAGGAGACTTCAGTTTGGCATAGTCTACATATGGTAAGAGATTCTCTCTAAAAATGAACTTTTAAGACATTAAGAATGGACACATTTCGAGTGGATCCTTGTCCACTGTTTTTAAAATCTGCATACTTTTGGCCAAATATCACTCTGCAGATTCAGGTCTGAATCTCTTAGTTCGTCTCTTCTTTCTCAAAAGTTTTGCCTTTTAAGAAAAGATAGATTTGAATGTGATTCAGTCTTGAATTCAGATGTTGTCACTTTCCTGTTTGATTTTTATTTTGTAATCATTTCAGAAGGTCTGAAGCGTGCCAAGATTTCCATTTTATTTTACTCTTTGCCTTTGTTTTTCTCTAGAACACCGAGAGATCAAAAGACTGGTACAAGACTATGTTCAAACAGATCCACAAACTAAACAGAGGTACTGATTTTCGTTTGTAGAAGCTGTGTTGTGTGCCCATATAGTGACTGTTGTGGCGCAGGCCTGAATTCACTTTTCTAAGGTGCTGGAAGACTGGGTCCACAGGGGGACCCCATTAGGTACTGGTCTGCCTGAGCCCCGCGGTGCGCCTTCAGAGCACAGGAGGGAGGGGGCGCTCAAGTCCTCCCTCCTGGAGGTTGTGGAATGCAGCAGGCTGAGCCCAGCACCTGCCTGTGCGCTGGCATCGTCTGCCTGGGATGTGAGCAGCACCAACTCCCACCTGCTTCCAGCTTTAGGTACATCGCCCTGTGTCAGCTCGTGACTGCCTTGTGGGCAGAGTCGGTTGAGAAAGCACTGAACTGGGAATCAGGAAAGCCATTCTCACCTAGATTCAGTCTCCTAAGCACCGATGTGCCCTTGGGCCAATCCTGTACTGCTGTGTTCTGGTTCCCTTCCTCCAAGGGACGTCCCAGGCCTAAAGGAGAATGCACCTGGCCTAGGGAAGTACAATGCACAGTATGCCCCTCAGGCTGTGCTAGTATGAAAAGCAATCTTCCCCAGCTGGGGGCCAGCACTCGCCAAGTAGCCCTGAGAGTCAGTCAAGAGCTGCCACACCAGAGCCCACGCAAGCTGAAAGAGAAGTGCTTTCAAATCACAGGCCCACTGGGCTGTCAGCAGGTGACCCAGCATGGTGGGAGAACCCCAGGCCAGTGCTCGGGCAAGTCATGACCCCACCAGCTCCCATTGCTGCCAGTGCCTCCAGCCCACTGACAGACAGTGATGTGGCTGCACTGTGGGAAGGGTACCACCCCTCCTGCAGGCAGAGCATCCTGTCCTTCCCTGTGCCCAAATCCAGTCTGGCCGCCTGGCATGGATGACACATGAAGGCAAAGAAAACGTGTTCTGGTCAGCGTTCCACCTGAGCCCCATCTCTCTGATTAGCCACGGATGCTACTAACATCACTGTTAATTAACTCCTGCTGGGTTCAGAATGAACCTGGGCATGCCCCTCTTCAAACTGTTTGAGTGTTTAGCATCTCTGAGTCAAGAGTAAATCCGCTATGCTTGGCTGGGTCAGCTCAGTCACAGAGGCAAAACTAAATGCTCGGATCTCTGTGACCACATGGGGTCTGTTCCACTCACTGGTCATTTCCTAAAGCTGCTGTCCATTTCCTTAAGCAATCTGTGACTCTCACCTTCAGACCTAGCTTTGAAAGCTTACATGCAGAGACACAGGTGCATGCACACATGTAAAATATGTAATCCCCCCCCCACCGGTTTTCTCATGTTAGTTATTAACCTAAATTACATATTCTAAACAAAGCCATCTGCCTTAATGGTAGGCAGAGGCATTTAAAAAATTAAGAATCCATTTGTTTGCTTTGATTCTAATGTCCACAACACAAGCTTTGTTTTTTAAAGAAAATTTTAGGATAGTCTTTTTGTTATGTACTATTTCTTATCATACTTAATATGTCTTGCCTATAAAAAGTGGAAACTTGAAGTTTTGTCCTAAATACTTTTTGCCCATTGGTGCCTGTTTATGTGTAATTCTTTGTCCATGAAGAGTGATGATACCATCTTGTTTGATGTGTCTCAGTAATTCAGGCAAAAGGACTGGATTTTTAAAAGCAATTTGAATTTCTCTCATACTACCAGAATTCAAGGAGCCTAAATTGTATATGGAATCCTACTCGTTCATTCTCTCCGTTTGTATCTTCCTCTATTCTCTCTCTTAAACCTGCTCCTCTGCCTAGACACTCCTGAAGAAAACCCTTATTTCCCTACGTACAAATTCCCCGAACTTCCTGAAATCCAGCCAACTTCTGAAGGTACCATAAGTTTAGACAGTCTATCTGTTGTCCTAGCCTTAAATTAATTCTTATAGTTCCATTATAAGCATAAGATTTGGCTTTTAGATTTTGTTTTTTTCATAGTCGTTTTTGGTTGGTGAAAATTTTATTTCACTCATTTGCATGATGTGCTATATTAAAATAACTAAGCCCTTTCTAATTCATTAATCTATTTTCAAGTGTGATGCCCGTGTGCTTTTAATAACACTAAAATATGTAATCGATCATTTCAAAGAATCAGTTGGGGATTTGTCAGTTCCTCCACTTCATGGTGGATAGTTTCAAAATCCACTACTTTTCTCTGCTACAGAGGACAATCCTTACACTCCTACCTACCAGTTTCCTGCATCTACTCCTAGTCCTAAGTCTGAAGGTAATTAAAGGAAAACCGTGTGCCTCTTTGTACTGGTGCTGTTACTTTCTTTTTCACCTTGGGGTTTTTCCTGGTGGCTAAGGGCTGTCTCCCAATCATTTGCTTCCCCCTAACCTTGTGTTCTGTGGTGGTGTCTTGCTCCTGGCTGACTGTATAACCAAAGTCTATCCAGATGGTATTTTAATCCTATTCCCTTAGGGTTTACATGATTAATGGGGTAGCCAGCTTAGTTATAATGCTTTGAACATGTGGGGCTCTGGGAAAAGCTGCCATACCCAGTCACCCAGGGCTTTTTATCTGGGTGGTCACCTGATGCTTGTGGTTGGGCAGTGACTCAGGGAAGCTGAGTCATTAAGGCAGATGGGTAGGTCTACCTCTTACCAGCCGTCAACAACAGAAAAAATTATCAGGTTTCTATTCCTGCAACTAACTCATTACCAGGCCCCTCTAGTCCTGGGTCCTCAGGGTGTCTCTCTTTGGTAGGGAATTCCTGAAGAAGTATCCAGGTGTAAGATCAATCATGGTGGGAGATGATATCTCTTCAAAATAAGGGTTTTGGTCAAGCTGGAAAACATTTCATGAAAGAGCTGGACAGGAATTGTTACCTGCTGGGGAGGACAGCCACATTTATATCTAGGAGATATTCTTTTCTGGGGCAAAAAGTCTGGGTGTCAAAAGTAGCTTCTAAAAGGTAGGTTGAGGACAACATCTTGGAAAATTACCCCGATAGAAGGGATTATCTGATCTTTGGATAAGTAAGCCAGAAAAAGTTGAGTGGATAGAGTATAGAGGAAGAAATTTCATTAAATGCTCTTCTAGGATGAGATGTTGAGTGCTCAAACTCCATTCATTTGAGTAGTATTGAGCACTTTCTGTGTGCCATGCACTGTCCTTAGAACTGAGACTGAGAGTAATGCCATGAGTAAGACAGGCACCCTGCCCTCCAGATTTCACATCTGGCAGGGAGTTAGACTAGGCCACTTCAGCATGCCTTGCCCAGTGTGGGGGCAGTCGTGAGAACATATACCCAGAAGGCCACAGAAAGCCTTGCTGGCACTTAAGAGAGCCTCAGTAATACCTGGAAAAGGTCGATGAGTAAAGGCTTTGGACCATGGAGCCAGAGTTCTTTTGTAGGGATGAACTCCAGTACTGCCATCTTGTTGCTTCTCTGCTCTAATCAGCTCAGCAAACTGTCCCTCACCGTCCTTCTCATCATTGGCAAAGTCATGCATTTGACCATTCACCAAACTCTTACTGATCACTTACTATGCATGAGATGACACACATGGACGTGTTAGATACAGTATTAGTTAAAATACCAGAGTCAAAGGGGGGAGGGGCGGCATGGGCAATATATGTAACCTTAACATTTGTACCCCCATAATATGCTGAAATAAAAAAGAAAAGGAAGCCAGGCGCGGTGGCTCACGCCTATAATCCTAGCACTCTGGGAGGCCGAGGCGGGTGGATTGCTCAAGGTCAGGAGTTCAAAACCAGCTTGAGCAAGACCCCATCTCTACTAAAAATAGAAAGAAATTAATTGGACAACTAAAAATATATATACAAAAAAAATTATCCGGGCATGGTGGCACATGCCTGTAGTCCCAGCTACTCGGGAGGCTGAGACAGGAGGATCCCCTGAGCCCAGGAGTTTGAGGTTGCTGTGAGCTAGGCTGACGCCATGGCACTCACTCTAGCCTGGGCAACAAAGTGAGACTCTGTCTCCAAAAAAAAAAAAAAAAATGAAAAGGAAAAAAAAATACCAGAGTCCATATTTGGTCTCATATGTCCCCTAGTCAGTGGTTTCCAACCTTTTCATGCTTGGGGCCTATTTTGAATGTAATGAAAAGAAAAGCCTACCAAACAAACCCAAACTTTCAGAACTAGAAGCTGATGATTTAATTCTGCTCAGTGACCCTCTTGCTGCCAACAAGAGTCTATTTGGTGTAGAGAGACTGGTCTTGCTGTGTTAGGCTGCTGATTCTACCCAAAAGTATCGCAGAAGAAACAACTGACTGAGTTTGGTGAGGGAACAGCTTTTTCAGGGTAATTTTGACTAACTGCAGTTTTTGATTTGTGCTATATTTGGTCTTGTGAACCTAACCCACTCATTTAGGTAGCGTTCTCTTATAGGGTAAGGTGACAAGCACAGAGCATGCTGAAGGGACAGTGTCCCACAGACATGGGCAGAGGTAGGCCCACTTGGAAAAGTCCTGTAGAGGCACAGTAGCTGCCGTTGGGCTGGAAGATTGCCCCCAGCCTGTTGCAGGCAGTGCCCGAAGCTTCTGTGGGTCAGCCTGGCTGTCGGGCTGAAGATAGGGTTTCATGGCCTCGCTCCCAGAGCTCGAATGTCATAAGCCACCACACCTAGCAACCCCAGATGACAACAGTGTCTGCTCTTTGGCACACATGAAATCCAGCACAAGAGGGAATTGGGTCTATTTTGCCTAGAGGCATAAACAGTAAAGGGTTGACGTGACAACTTGTCACATACAATTTAGAAGCAGATCTTAACTATTTTTTATTTTCAAAAACCAAAATGGAAGAAATAGTCTTAAAGAATAAAAAGGAAAAATTTAGTTGGACATAAATTTATAATAGCAAAGAGGATTAGATTTTAACACAAGTTTCTAAGAAGTCTCCTTCCCTGGGGATCTTTTAAAAATAGGGTAGCTTTTATCTCACATACCCAGGCATGGATCACTGATGAATTCAGTTAGATAAAGGCTTTAAATGAGGGAAGTGTTTAAGCTAGATCATTTTAAAGACTCATTGGGTTTTTTTTCTCTTCTCTTCTCTTCTCTTCTCTTCCCTTCCCTTCCCTTCCCTTCCCTTCTCTCTTCTCCTCCCTTCTCTCCCTTTTCCTCTTCCTCCTTCTCCTCCTTCTCTCCCTTCTCCTCCTTCTCCTCCCTTCTCCTCCCTTCTCCTCCCTTCTCCTCCCTTCTCCTCCCTCTTCCTCCCTTCCTTCCTTTCCTCCCTTCTCCCTCCCCTCCCTCCCTCCCCTCCCCTCCCCTCCCCTCCAGCTGGGACTACAGGCATGCGTCACCATGCCTGGCTAATTTTTTCTGTATATGTTAGTTGGCCAAGTAATTTCTTTCTATTTATAGTAGAGATGGGGTCTCGCTCTTGCTCAGGCTGGTTTCAAACTCCTGACCTCGAGCAATCCGCCCACCTCGGCCTCCCAGAGTGCTAGGATTACAGTCGTGAGCCACCGCACCCGGCCTTTTGCTTTGTTTTTTAAAGTTTCAGGAGATTCTCTGGATATCTGGACCCATGATGTGTGGTTTTGATGGTGTCTGTGGGCTCCAGCAGGGCCTCCTCAGCCCTGTCCGTGGTGCTGCTCCGGCCCTGTGTCCCCACTAGGTGGCCCTGGACTCCACGCACACCCTTCCTGATGTAGGAAAGGTTTATGCCTTTCAAAGAAAGGTGTTAAAGACCAGTCAGCACTTGCTGCCCATAGATGTTAATGTACATTAAGAAACAGATAATTTCCCAAGAAATCCAAGCCATCATTCCAGAGTCTATCTCCTAGGGAGAAGGTTGTTATTGCTGCTGTCTTTTTGTTTTGTTTTAATTCAGAATTTGGAACTAGAATTTTTTGTAATAAACCTATCAAAGCCTAGCCTAAGGGCTGCTGTCTAAATTCTAGTGGTTTATAAAGTATAAAAAAGACGTTTCTAAAGATCTCAAAGCTGAGTCTCCTAAATAGTAAGGGACTATGTGAAAGTTTGTTTATGCTGGCTTAGCAACCTTCTCCCCCCCCCCCCCTTCCAGCTGCACTGAAAAAGCAAACTTCTGGCCAGGCTTTTAGAATATAAATAGAATTATCATGTCTTAATCAATGAAGTTTGAAATGTGCTTTTTTTTAAAAAAAAAAAAGCATTGTAAATTCCAACAAAGAACAGTCACTTCTAATCATTTCATAATCTTTGAGACCACTCTGATTGGGGTGGGAGAGATAGCACGTGTAATCATACTTTGTGTCATGACTCAGGAGAGGGACAAGCTGTGTAGAAACAGCTTTAGAAATGCAGCCTGTCCCCCTCCCCACCCTCCTGCTTTAAGGTACGTGGTCAGCACCTTAGCAGCTCACAGTCACAGTCACAGCCCTGCTAATAATAACAGCTGTCACCGAGATGCCTATGCAACTGCCATTTACTGAGCTCCTCACCATATACAGGGTTCCATGCCGAGTGCACCACTATTGTTATCTCACTTTCATCTCCCCAGCCACCCCACAAGGTAGATCTTTATTTTACCAGTGAAGAGTATGAGGCTTACAGACGTTAAGTAATATGTGCAAGATCACACAGTAAGTGACAGAGCTTGACAGAGGTTCAAACCCAGGTCTACAGGGCCCCTCAAACATAGGCTTTTACTTAACTCTGCCATACTGCTTTGCTGATCCCTTTCTCTCTTCTTATACATTGTGTTCTTTGTTGTCCACTCCTTGCCAAGGGACTCTCTGACACCTCGTTCCAGGCACCTAGTGTCCTCTGAGTCAGTCCTGCCTAAGTCAGCTGACCCAGTGTCTCCCAGGATGGTGTCTGGGGATACATAGTTAGAAAAGCTCCCCATGTGATTGTGACACACAGCCAGGATGGAGAACCACTGGAATGGAGGAACGCCACCCTTCCCCAGACCCCTAAAAGAAATGAAGATACTTGCCCAGATGCAATTTTGGGGATTTGGATGTAGAATTAGAGTGGGGAGTACAGATTCGAAAGAGCTAGATAGACTTTCTGCTCTGAATATGCTCAAATGATGTTTGCTCACTTGGCATGTTTGATGTCAAGAAAAGGGAAGATATTTTGAAATAATGCCTTAGAATCTGCAGCAAAACCAAGTCACTGGTATGTTACTTCCTGGTCTGTGGTCTGTGAGGACCCACTGGGCCATGTCGGAGTGAAGGGCTATTGCCAGAGGTGAAGTCCCAGAGGCCGGTTTTTACACTTGCTTTTGGATGCCTTTTTCATGACTTTCGGCTAGTGGTGGCCACT